GGAATAGATGCGACACTTCTGTCTGGCCGTGTTGTGTTTGTCACTGACCGTGGAGCCAACATAGTTGCTGACCTGCGTGGATACACGAGGCTGAACTGCAACGCGCACATCCTGCACGTCACTCTGTCTAGTGCACTTTCACCAGGCATGTTGGCTGAAACTGCTGAACTGTTGACCAATGCAAAAAAACTGGTGAAATATTTCAAACATTCAGGTCTGCAAAACAACTTGAAAAAATCTCTCAGTCAGTCGAGACCCGATGGAATTCAAATGATGACCTGTTGGATTCCATACTTCAAAAGCTTGAGGAAATCTCCACATTACTGCTGCAATAACCAATATGAAAGAATTGTTCAGATCAATGGAAACACTCTGAAAACAGTAGTTGCGTTTCTTAAGTTATTTAAGGATGCTACTAATGACCTAGAATCCGACAACTCCACTCCCAGCGCATCACTTCCACTGCCGTGGTCCGTGAGACTCATTGAACACTGCCAAGCTGCATCCCACGAGCCCTTGCTCTCTAAAGTCACCAATGTGTGTGCCTCACGTCTGGAAGAACTTGTGGGCACCAGTGACACATCTGCATCCCCTCTCCACATGATGTACAGGATTGCAACACTGCTGACTCCTAAAATGCGACTGCTACGGATGCTGCCCTCAGACGCAAGAGAAGATGTAATTAAAGGTATGCTGCCTAGCTTTTTATAAAAACAGAAAATGGCATGCAATGCTGTTATAATTCAAATTATAATTAAAATGAATTTTAAAAATAGAAAGAGATATAAGACAATGAATGAAGGCATAATAGCTAAATGAATGACACGAGCCATTTTTAAAATGAATATTTATTAATATATGAATAAAATCCTTTTGTAAAGGTGCAAAGGATATTATTCAGAAGATGCAGTTTGACCTGGTCCCATCCACAGCAGAGGATGAGCCACCAGCCAAAACGCAAAGCACGGAACGATTCGCAGACTGGGAAGATGACGCGTCGTTTGCATCAGCGCCAAAGTCGGTCGATGATGAAATTTCTGAATATCTCACCTGCCGGCTCTCTGACAACCCAGACCCAAACAACGTGCTTCAGTGGTGGAAGTTCAACAAAGAGCGCTTCCAAGCGCTCTCAAAGCTGGCGCGTTGCATTTTCAGTAGCCCTGCATCCAGTGCGCCTTCAGAGCGCGCATTCAGTGTCTGTGGGCGCATCTTGGAAGAGAGACGCACTGCAGGACTGGGACCGCAGTCGGTCAGCCACATTCTCTTCCTCCACAGCAATATTCCAACCAAGGGATTAATTAGTAAATTTAATTTTTAGTTTTTTATAAGTTATCTTTGTTATTTATTGGTAATATCTGAGCCACTCAATCTGTTGCTATTTGTTAATTAGGTGCCTGTGTTACTGAGCGGCATGCCTAAGTTTGAACGTTTTTATTTATTTTAATTTTTTTCAAACAGAACACCTGCAACATATGGCAAAAAACTTTAAATCTGCTGTTTTTCATGTTTATATGGTACTTATTTTGCAAAGCGGTCTATTTTATGTACAATGTGATTGTGTTAATTTTTATACACATGTATAAAAATGAAGTTATCAAAAGTCACTGCGCTGTGTTGTCTATATGCCGATTGTGTTAATATTTCTCATTCAGGTCTCTTAGAAAAGTGACCTTGATCACTGCCTGATTACAGAGGAGAATAGAATATGAAACAGCCTTGATTTTCCTTTAAGCACCACACCGTAGCTCCTTTACGCATTTTTTTTAAGAATTTTATAATTTTAGTAGTGAGGAGTTATTTGAAATCACATGCGCCGAGGCGTCACCGGTGATCCTGGTGACGCCTCGGCGTTAAATGGTTAAAAACTAAATGAAAACAAAGTGCGTCAATCCTGACCAAGACGTGCAGGCCTGAGAAACGAAACAAGGATTCATGTGGTTTCTGTATAGCCTATAGAATGACATGTTTTCTCCAGGACCAGAGAGGACACAAACTCAGTACATCTCTTTTATTGTGACGTAATAATTTCTCCGGGTTTTGCGGTTGCGGACGGCAGCGGACATGCACACTGCGGGTGCGGGCGGTTGCGGGCGGTAATGGTCAGAAATTCGGCGGGAGCGGGATGAAGAAAACAGTCCCGCGCAGGGCTCTTCTCCAAACCATCCGAGGGTGCGGTGACCACACATAAAAGTTTCAAGTTGGACAACTTGGCATGAATACGTATAAGTCTCTAGAAACCCATTTTTCTCAACAATAAAAAAACAGCAACAAATATATTCAGCCTTGATTGTACACAGCAAGATTTATTATTTACAATGATATAATTAATAATGACCGATAACGATCAATACTAGATTTCATATGTTGTTGTGTTCAATGTTAAGTTTATTTATTACAATTATTAACAGCTTTTGTTTCATGTTTGCTCTCTGATGAATTATTTTGAAATTACTGATTTTTGGTTTGCGTTCTAAAAGCTACATAAACAAATTACATCTTGTAAAACCTCCCATAATTCAGTCAGATTCAAAACATTTCATTTCAAGGTGTTTAGTAGATGAAGAGTTTTTTTTTCTTGCGTGGTGCCTTCAAAAAGGTGCTTCACGGTAATAATCTCACAGTAATTTATGTTACATTAACAGACTAAATAACAATGCTTCAACCTGCCCAGCATCAAAAACAAACTATTCATTTTTACTGATTGATATTTATAATTATCATTATGTGGAAAAACAATTTGTTTATCACCAAAAATAACCTTTTTATATTCCTTTGTAATAGTACTGATAGAGAAGAGATTCCCACAGACCCCCTTAAATGAGGTTGCTAGCTAACATGCTACATTGCTCACCTTCTTGAGGTTCATTGGGTTGTGAGGGGACACCTGCTGACACATCATCAGCTGCTGGTTCTGGTAGCGACAAGGACAACAACCCATTTACCTTAATTAGATGAAACATAGTTCGTCTCACTGTGGAAATCAGAGCTGGCTAACAAGTTGAATTTAACCACTCACTAACCAAACCCACCTTTCTTTGAGAAATACTGTGTGACATACTGACGCCCTCTCTTCTGCCTGTCCTCTTTCTCCTTTCTTTCCTTTTCTGTGACCCAGACTTTGTTTTTGCAGACATATTTTTACTGCAGCCTTGACGCACTCTGCTGTCTGACTGCTGCGTGAGCTGGCCTCGCCTGCTACACGCCCCTGGCCAGGTGGACTGTACCATTTTATGCCGTTGGGGGGGGGGGGGGGGGTCCAAATTAATTGGTCAAAATAAAGTAGGGACCTCTGAATAAATATACATTTCATAAAGACTAAAAGAATTTTTGTTTAATGCCTCAAATGAGAATACTGCAAAGTAAAGTACTTGTGATTTTTAAACTTAATTTTTTTCATTCAACTTTGAAACATTCTTGGGCCCCTGACAGCTGTGGGCCCTTAGAATCTTCCTAATCTTTCACCACCAAGCCCCCACAATGCGGGTGAAAAATTGAGGCCAGCTCAGAAGTGACAAAAAATGCAGTTCCACCCTCATCCACTAGGGGCTGGTGTCAGAAGCGAGCAAATCCTCATTGACTCCCATGTTAAAAATACCAATTTCACAGCACAAATAAACATGTTTACAGCCTGGTTCCTAAACATGTTTTAGGTTTAAATGATCTAGTTTACACTCATGACAACTCTGAGGGGGGTGGATTTTTTCTCACTCTTCTGTTTAAGTGTATTAAAAGCCTAAAATTCTGTATAATTAATGAGCATCAGACCCACGTGACCACAGAGCTAGCTCCGTGGAAAGGCCTCAGTTGAGCCTCGGTCTGGCCTGGAAACTGCTCCGGGATTTTGAGTCTCTGTGTTTGTGTATTCTTTTATGGATATTTTTTGTGCAATTGTTGGACAAAATGACTTGCTGTGGCATTAATTGCACTAATAGAGCGTCCAAGGAGTCTCCACTTCATTTATTTCTGTAAGTAAAATTATATTTATGTATTTTAGGTCACTGCCGAGCTGAGCTTAGATTTTAACATGTACTGTTTAACCATGAAATTTAAATGTAATAGGGTAAAACCCAGTGCATTTAACATAATGCTGCACTTTAGAAAATGGGTTGAAATATAACATGTTGGTGGAGCTGGGTTCCCACTATCGGCTTGTGGAGGTCTCAAGAGGCCGATGTTTTCCACCCGGTTCTCCCCTCCCCGCAGCTCGGCGCATCTCTGTCTGATCGCGGCTTCTGTCTGCAGCGCGGGCTGCCGGCTTGTGGAGCTCTGGGATGGAAACCTTTCCACCCGGTTCTCCCCAGCGGCAGCTCTGCGCATCTCAGATCGCAGCGGCGCTTGTCTGCTGTGCGGCTGCCGGCTTGTGGAGCTCTCAGAGACCTCTGTGTTCCACCCGGTTTTACCCAGCGGTCAGCCCGGCGTATCTCTGACTCAGAAGCTCTGGTGTTGTGCACAGTTAACTCCGGTAATGGTTGTAGCTAGGTTGCTACCTCCGTTAGCTTAGCTCCCACCTCCGCATTAGCTTTGGGTTAGCTTCAGGTTAGCTTGTAGCTAGTTCGACCGGGTGTCGTCAGTTGATCCCAGCCTTACAGCCCCACCCTCAGCTCCACCTCTCTTCCCTTTCGTGGAATTGTCTGGGCTTGACGGAAACTGTGACAGGGCCAAAATGGCGGTGGTGGCCACCTCCCATTTTTCTTCAAAAACTTGACATTGGAGGCTATGGGAACCCATTGTCCAATATTTATAAGTCGATGTTCACCACTTTACGGCGCCCCAGCTCAGTCAGGTCCAACCACTCTGTCTTCCTGAGTGGGTTTAGCTGACTTAAGAAACTAGCAGCATCACGTTTATGAATGTTTTCCTTCCAAAACAAGAGCGTGCACGCGCACGAGCCTGTGTGAGAGTCCAAACAGGAAGTAGCTCGGTTCATTGATAAGAACCCGTTAATGGACATGAGCGCACACACGCGCGTGTAGAGTTCCCATCAGCGTTTCTAACGGACAGAACTCCGGTTCGGTCCATTAGGACCGAGACGAAGCTTTTAGAAGGATGAGACGAAACACTAAAGCGTCTGCAAGGTGGGGCTGTTCCCCTCCCCCGTGATGCGACGAAGCCCCGCCCCTCCCCCTAGGAGGAGCCCTGTGCTGCAGTGAAGCATCCTCAGCATCAGAACCAGAACCAGAGAACACTTCGGAACCGAGCCGCGGAGCAGCAGAACATCAGGTGAGTGTCAGACGAAACCGTGACCCTGGTCCGACTAACTGTCCGTTAGCATAGCACGTGCCCTGCTGTCTCCTGATTAGTGTCAGCATTACATCATCGGAACCAATTAGAGCTGCGCTCTTGCGGCTTCGACTGGGACAGGTGTTCGGATGAAACAGAAACGGGAAGTGACGTCACTAGGTCGTTTAGTTTCACTGGTTCTGAGCTGACCCGGTCTCAGTGCTGATCAGTAGGTTCCTAAAGGAAAGTTAAGTTCTGGTCCAGATAACTTTCTCTGACCAAATGGAAATGTGGTCCATCTTCAAAGGTCCAAAAGTGTCTGGACAGAACCTCAAACTGGCTCAAACAGAACCAGGTGGACCAGTGGTCCAATCAGGTTCATGCTGCTTCTTGCTTTGGACTTTAGATCCAGCTGATGTCTGATCCAGAGGAACTTCTCTGGTGGTTCTGATCGCCAGCAGAACCCAGGAGTTCCACACCAGAGGCAGCTTCTCCTGTTGGTGTAAAGAGATAGCTACTAATTATCATCTACTGATTCCGCCATGTTGGGTTCTAGGAACCGATCAGCTCACCGGAACCAGTCAGGTGTTCTAAAGCATTTCCCAGAACCAGAACGTGGACAGCGTGTGGTTTTGTTTGTGTCGCAAAAGCCGAACGTTATTTAGAACAAATGCAGTAAAAGGATGTTCCACACACACGAGTCAGAATTTAGCAGCACTTATTTAGCCTTTAATGGAACTAATGAGTTAAAATTTCTAAGTCATATTTCCTTTCATACAAAGTTTAAAGTTCCCAACTAAATATTTCATTTGGAGCTATATATTTGGTTTACTAACTAAATATTTAGCTTCAAATTAGATGTTTAATTAAATATTTAATATTTAGATCCCAGCGAAATATTTATTTCGGAGCTAAACCGAAATGTTGATTTTGAAGACTAAATGTTTTGCTCCAAAATAAATATTTAATTAGTAAATTCATTAATTCTTTACTTTTTCTTTAAATATTTAACTAAATTTTAAATATTTAGCTTGCTAACTATTTATTCGGAACTTTAACATTTATAAATGTATGAATAACATGTGAAAATGTGACTTTGAAAAATGAACTCTTAACTTTTTTCTGTAAATAACCCAAAGATATGAGTGTTTGACTAAATGGCACCCCGTATCTGGACAGGTTCCACTGTTTGGATCCATCTAGGTCTTACAAGTCTGTTCATCTGATGATCTCCACAGGTTTTGAGTCAGAATGGTTGTTGGTGTGTCAGAACGGATCCAGAGGGACCGGGATCGGGATGAAGGCCTAGGCTCGGTCCAGCAGGCAGTACAGTACCTGAATCAGGACTTCCAGTCTCTGAGGGAGGAGTGTCTGCAGAACAGAACCCTGTTCCAAGACCCCATGTTCCCAGCAGAACCTGCTTCACTGGGCTTCAAGGAACTTGGACCAGGCAGCGCCAAGATCAGGGGGGTGGAGTGGAAAAGACCAAAGGTCAGAACCAAAACCAGAGAAACACCCCATCAGACAAACACACACATACACACACACTGCGCTGAGTGTGAACCAAGGGTCTGTGATTGGCTCATGCTGGTTTGTAAATAGTCTACCTGATGTTTAGAAACACTTGTCTCTGATTGGCTGTTCCAGGATCTGACAGCAACACCTGAGTTTATTGTGGGTGGGGCCACCAGGACGGACATCTGTCAGGGAGCTCTAGGTGAGTCGCAGGTCATGTGATCTGTTTCAAAGGTCATTATTGGTTCTTCCGTAAATGTTGACTATTATGTCAGGACACATGTACTGTTTCCATGGCAACACCTGAGAAACCCAAAGCTGTTTGGCTGCACACAAGCTGTTTCAGAACCGATCACTGATGTATGGACTGGTCACTGTTTACATGATAGACTCAGAAGTTCTCAGCTGCACCAGAACGGTCCGGTAGCCACAGAGGTTCGCTGCTAGGCAGCTGTCACACAATATGTTGAAGTGCCCCTGAGCAAGTCACTAGAGCACATGTATTGTGTGTTCCCAACATGCAGCGGGAGGCTCGACCTGTCTTACCTGCAGGGCGAGTTTGCTGCTACATATTACCAGGAAGGGCGTGCGCAGAAAAACCACCCACAGCTTCCAGGAATCCCTACTGCAGCGCTGACATGACTCAGCGTTTGTTTGAGACCAACAGGTGTGTGACAGCAGGTGTGTTTGTAACGCTGCAGTCTGGCTGGTCAACCACAAATATTTTTGCCTGAGATTTTAAAATTTATCTCATGAGCCGAACGTTACATCCATGACAGATGGAATCCCTTCAGGGGGCGGAGCCGCAGTTATAAATGTTCAGCCTTTCATTCGACTCCTTTTTTGTCCAAACGCTAAGAGCCAATGAACGGTTCACTCGCAGTAGTGATTCCTTGTAAACTTCGTTATCTCTGATCTTCTTTATTGATTTTATTTTATTAAACCTTTATTTATCCAGATGAGTCGATTGAGAACTCGTTTTCATTTACAGCGACGATCTGGCCAAGAGGCAGCAGCAACAGACACGTAGTTAGCTTTACATTAAAGAAAATCAGGTAAGATAAAAACATACAAGACAAAATAAGACAAAACAGACATGAAGACAACAGACTGTTCTCATATATAATATGTACAAGCAGTCAAAACAGACTTAAAACAGTCTTTAAAGAGCAAGTCACCCCCTACCAGTCTTATTCAACTCCCACTTCCTGTTTGAAAAATGCAACAAATGCTGTTGCCTGTGTGGCAGTGTGAGCGTCCTGTCACAGCGTCCCGACTGATCGTGCGCCCTTGCTACTTGGCCAAGGGGATGTCCCTTTGGCTGACTGGTTAGCGCGCGTGACTCTCACCCGGGAGTCTGAGGATCGAATCCCGCCCGGGCCCTCGTCTCTGGCAGACCGAGAGGGCGGAGCTGCTAACAAATACACACAAACAGGCTCACAACAGCATTGTGACATCATATGGTACCAGCTAACGTCATAGTGTACCTCTTAGCCAATAGCGGTGGCAGATTTAAATTCAGATGTAGTGCTGAGTTTTTACATGAAGATGGCACAACAATTGACAGTTTTAGGCAGAATATTAAAATTTTAACTAAGATGCACTAAAGTGCCAAAATATTGACTACATGTGTCTGCAGCACGATTAGACACTCATTTATGTAGTTTATCAGTAAAAAGTTGATTTGGGGTTGACTTACTCTTTTAGTACTCAGAAGCACATTGCTCAGAAACTATTGATCGCAATGAATTATTGAAGGTAGATAATGGATGGAGTGTAGGTAGTGATTTCAGTGAAGCTCATTCCAGTCGTTGGAAGCAGCAAACTGGAATGAGGTGCGAGCTTTGGGAATAACCATAGAGATAAAGTTACTGGAACGTAAATTGCGCTGGTTGTTGGAAGTGATGAGTAATGAGCGAAGATATGACGGGGTTCTACCGATGACTGTTTTGTATGTGGACTGATACCGATGTAACGACCTGCAGGAATGGAGAGATGGCCAGTTAATGAGTGCGTACAGATCACAATGATGAGTAGTGAAAGGGGCACCAGTGACCAAACGGATCGCTGAGTGATAAATTACATCGAGTTTACGAAGAAGTTTTTTGGAAGCAGTCCAATAAATGATGTCACTAAGATGGGAAGGATTGTCATTTTGCCCAAGGTTTGCTTTGCAGAATGAGTAAAGGATGACCTGTTGCAGTATAGAAACCCAATTCTTGACGTGACTTTAGAAGGTAATGAATTAATGCGAATGTCAAAATGAAAGTGTGCTGTCAAGCCAGATACCCAGATACTTATAGGAACTGACAAGTAGTAGTTCTGTACCATCCAGGGAAACAAAACTGGCAAGTTGATTGCGGTATGTACGGTTGAAAATCATGAACTTTGTTTTACTTGTGGTTAAATGAAGATGAAGGTTGGAGAAGGCATGTTGAAGACAATTAAAGTTGTGCCGGAAGGAGGACAAAGCTGTGTTCAAGGAAGAACTGCATGTATATAAAATGGTGTCATCTGCATATAAATGTATATGCATATGCAAATGTATATGATAACTATCAACAGCATGAATTATGTTATCAATATAGATTTTAAATAAGGTTGGGCCCAGCATCGACCCTTGAGGAACGCCCATAGATAGAGGTAGAGGAGCAGACTGGTAACCCTCTGTTCTCACTGTCTGCGTACGGCCTAAGGTATAACTTCTGGAACATACCAAAGATGCCTGAGAAAGTCCTACATGTTTGAGCCTGCTGAGTAAGATGTTATGGTCTACCGAGTCAAAGGCTTTTCCAAGTCAACAAACACAGCTACACAATATTCCCTAAATTCTTTATATATTCCAATATTTCTTATACAATAATTGATATTTATATAATTGATTTGACAAATTCATCTATCCATCCATCCTGTCTCCTAATAATGGGAGGAGCAGCGATAGACTTTATGAATTGTGAGGAGGCGTGCATGAACAATAATTCCTTCTTGGTGCAGATGGTGTTTCTCGGGACCGCTGACTGGTTTCTACCTCTAAAGTCTACTTCCTGTATTCCCACATGCATTATCTGTTTGTTTTCTATGATACTGAAACATGAATAAATGATTGTCTCCATCTGGGGAACATCAGACAGATCTCAGAAAGCACCTGAAGGCAGCACTTGCAGCTGTAATGACCTATTGATCTGTCCTCTTGTTGATAGAGGCTCCATCTGCTGATCTTGTTGTTGATGTCTTAGCTGTTAGCATTAACATGTCCCTACAGACCATCGGGCTAATGGAGTCAGCTGATTCCTGTAACTTCGACGTTTCTTCCTCCACATCCATCATCATCTTCTGATTCATGGCGGGAGCTCCAGACTCTGGTCCAATTTGGATTGTAGAGATATCCTGGATCAGACATTTGCAGGGGCATATCCAGGGAGTGGCTTGGGGTAGCACATACCCCCCTTGGAATCTGACTGGCCGCCCCAGGTGTCACCACACTGAATTCCCTTTAAATAGGCTTTTCATTGTCCACAAAAGGCTTGAGGTAAAACAGAAAAAACATAACCACTGGTGCCACATATGCACAAAGTAGTGCCTCACCTGGGCCACCCCATTTTAAAAGATCTGGACACGCCACTGGACGTTTGGAACCAAAAAGCACAAAGACCCTGAGATGGTCGAGAACAAACCCTGACTCCAACCCCGACCCTCCGGTAAAAGTGTGAGATGTTGTCTTCTAGGGGACTGCTGGCTGCTGGCTGCGATTGGCTCTCTGACCCTGAACCAAACGCTGCTCCACCGGGTGGTTCCTCATGGCCAGAACTTTCGGAACCAGTACGCCGGCATCTTCCACTTCCAGGTTAGATTGCACCTGGCAACAGGCCACACCCACATTCTGTATGATGGAAATGGTTTCAGGCAGAGATTCTGGTTCTGATGTCCACCTGTCTTTATGTCCCTCTCTCTATGTCCATCTGTCTCTCAGTCCTTCTGTCATTCTATGTTGGTGGCAGACGGGTTAAGTGCCTGCAGACAGGTTGCAGGTTTGCGCCCCTGATGCCACTGATGGTGGCCGGAGAGGCTGCTGTCTTGCTTCTGTCCCCCGGGGTCCATTATAGCTCATCATCACTATCAGTGTGTGAATGACTGTTGTGTTATGAAGCACCTTGGGGGGTTCTAGGATTCTAAGAGGCCCTTTATAAATACCGGACTTTAACCATTCCGTCCGTCTGTCCTTTTGTCCGACTGCCTTTCTGTCTATCCGTATGTCCTTCTGTCCGTTTGTCAATTCATCTGACTGTCTTTATGTTCGTCCTTCTGTCTCTCTGCCCTTTTCTCCATCCTTTTGTCCATTCATCTGCAGTTCTGGCAGTTTGGGGAATGGGTGGATGTGGTGATCGATGACCGTCTTCCGGTCAAAGACGGAAAGCTAATGTTTGTCCACTCAGCAGAGGGGACGGAGTTCTGGAGCGCCCTGCTGGAGAAAGCCTACGCCAAGTAAGAACTATCTCATCATCTATCTGTCCATGTCTACAAGTGGATGGACACGCTGTGTCTCTGTCTTCAGGCTGAATGGGTCTTATGAGGCCCTGTCTGGGGGCAGCACCACGGAAGGCTTTGAGGACTTCACGGGGGGTGTGGCTGAGTCGTACGAACTGAAGAAAGCTCCCAGTGATCTTTATCGGATCATCGGAAAAGCTCTGGAGAGAGGATCCCTGCTTGGTTGCTCTATAGACGTCAGTCCCTGCTCAGTCTCCTGTCCTCACATCTCTCTGACTGCAGACATTTCTGGCATTGGAAGACTACTTGAATCCGTTCTGTTCTCAGATCACCAGTGCTTTCGATATGGAGGCGGTCACCTTCAAGAAACTGGTAAAAGGCCACGCCTATTCTGTGACAGGCCTGAGACAGGTGAGACATGTCTCCCGCCTAACACAACAGGTGTTCCTGAAACTTCTGACCTTACACCAGACCTGGTTGGACTTAGCCTGGCCAACCAAACTCGTCCTTTGTTTCTGCACAGAGAACTAGTCTGGTTACTCACAGGTTGAGGCACATGAGGGGCGGGACTAGCCATCTCAAAAATAACCAATCAGAAAAAAGGCATAAAATGCCGACTGCACCGCGTGACACTGTCGTTTTTTAGCTGTAGTCAAAAATGGCGTCTGGCGACGGCACAAACATCTTTTTTTTTAGAAGAGAGGCTTTTTGAGCTTCTTGTTGGGGTTTTAAAGACATGTTCAAGTCATTTAGAACAGAGGAAAGAGGTGCTGCAAACTCGACTTCATACACCCCGTTTGTGAGAAACTCAGCATTGCGCTGATTGGCTCGGTTAGAATTCTAAGGGGTCGGGCTACTGGAATAGAAGAGTTTCCAGTTGGCTGGTCAGGCTAGGTTGGACTTTTATAAGACATACTGTGCTGACAAATCAGCGTAATACTGCCGCTTTGGTGTGTCTTATGAAAGCGGCATGGCGATGTGGGAATTTTTCAGCATTTGTGCTGCCACACTTGGTAATAATCTTGCTGCAACGCCAGACTTGTGACTGAAGATTCCGCCTTCGCGCAACAGAGGGTGTTGTTGTGATCAAGTGTGGAATTACTGCCAATTCCTGGCTGGCAATTATATTAAAAACAAAAGTAAACACGGACATAAGTTTTGCTTTTTCAAACAGAATCAACTGAGATGGCAACCCTGACCCTCCTTTCAAAACCAGAATAGGTGGTTACCAGCATATGTTGTATTCTGGTGTTGGTCTAGGAGCATATGACGCTGGTCCAGGATAGTATGCCGGTCTGGCATGCTGGACTAGCATACCAGCAACACAACATATGCTGGTAACCACCTATGCTGTTTTTTTCTGCGGGGAAACTGGAGAGATGAAGAGCTCCGGGGGAAATTACATCTCCATACCATACCATCCATACCATACCATACCATAGCATACCATACCATACCATACCATACCGTACTATAGCATACCATAGCATACCACACCATAGCATACCGTACCATACCATACCATACCGTACCATACCATACCATAGCATACCATAGCATACCATACCATACCATTCCACACCATACCATACCATACCATACCATACCATACCATACCATACCATACCATACCATACCATTCCACACCATACCATACCGTACCATACAATACCGTACCATACCGTACCATACCATAGCACACCATAGCATACCACACCATAGCATACCGTACCATACCATACCATACCATACCATACCATAGCATACCATACCATACCATACCATACCATACCGTACCATACCATAGCATACCATACCATAGCATACCGTACCATACCATACCATACCATACCGTACCATACCTTGGCATACCATCCATACCATACCTTACCATAGCGTACCGTACCATACCATACCATACCGTACCGTACCATACCGTACCATGGCATACCATACCATAGCATACCGTACCATTCCATACCATACCATACCGTACCGTACCATGGCATACCATACCATAGCATACCATACCATACCATACCGTACCATACCATAGCATACCATACCATAGCATACCGTACCATTCCATACCATACCGTACCATACCATACCATACCGTACCATACCATAGCATACCATACCATAGCATACCATACCATACCGTACCATACCATAGCATACCATACCATAGCATACCATACCATACCATACCATACCGTACCATACCTTGGCATACCATCCATACCATACCATACCATAGCGTACCGTACCGTACCATACCATACCATACCATACCATAGCGTACCGTACCGTACCATACCATATCATACCATAGTTTATTTATATAGCAGTTTAAAACGCAGCATGGGAGCTGCCCAAAGTGCTGCACAGGCTAAAACAAAACGCAACCATTCTAAGCAACTAAAACAGAAGATAAAAATACCATTCAAAAGCAGATAAAACATGATGAATACTAAGAACACATTAAAACAATGACACAATAAAACACTAAAATGAGTCACTGTCTAAAAACCACATCGTAGAAGTGGGTCTTTAAACAACATTTTAAAAACCGCCAGTGATGGAGCCTGCCAAATTCCAATGGGCAACGAGTTCCACAGCTTTGGGCAGCATGCGCAAATGCTCGTTCACCCCGCGATTTGTATCGCATCCGCGGTGTACACAGCAGCAAAAGGTCAGCCGACCTCAACATGCGCGTGGGTACATATGGAGTGAGCAGGTCAGAGAGATAGGGAGGTGCCAGGTCGTTGAGTGCTTTAAATGCAAAAGTCAACATCTTAAACTGTACTCTGAAAATGACAGGGAGCCAGTGAAGATGTTCCAGGACTGGTGTAATATAGCAATGTCGGCTTGTACTTGTTAAAAACCTAGCAGCTGCATTTTGGTCAACCTGCAGCCGGTTCCTTCACATCTTCACTTTTGACCGATCTTCGTGGGGAGCTGCAGCAGTGGCTGCGCTCGGGAACTATTTGATGGTTTAATCCCCCAATCCAACCCCTTAGTGCTGAGTGTCAAGCAGGGAGGCACTGGGTCCCATTTTTAAGCTCTTTGCTATGACCCGACCGGGATTTAAACCCCCAATCTCCCAGCTCCAGAGCAGACACAGAAGGTGGCAATTTATGTTCAGCTGACTGAAAATTCGTGACAGTGCAAGGACCACCCCATACCCCCTTTATACCACCATGGCACATTCTTTAATAAAAATGACAAGATCCGGACTGGCCTGTCCTAACCTGGACTAATCTGGTCTGGTGCGACAGCCTGAGGCATCAGTTACACACACAAAACGGGGTCTGAAACTTGCATAAGTCATTTTCTACAAAAACTTTATGATTCATTGAAAAAAATGGTGCTGAAAAATGTGCACAACTTAATGTAAACCCTGACCCTGGCATTAGCACATTTTGTAGAGGGGAAAGTGGCCGCAGTCCATTCCCATCTTTTCTGTCCTGCTCTGGATTATGGGATTGACAAAATGTGATTTATCAAACTGTTAGTCCTTTATTTGGCTAAATATCCATAAAGTAGTATTCCCTGGTGACCCCTACTGTGGAAGTTAATGATACACATCAGAACTAGGTCCATGTTGTCCTTTCTGTGTCCAACAGGTGGAGTACCGCCGCCAGCAGGAGCGTCTGATCCGAATCAGGAACCCATGGGGTCAGGTGGAGTGGACTGGAGCATGGAGTGATGGGTGAGGAGATCACATCTAAAAATCTGAACCAGGAGCTGGGTAGACCACTGAGCTGAAGCTTCATGTTTCAGATCCTCAGAGTGGAACACCCTGGATTCCGCTGAGAAGGACGAGATGCTGTGCAAGATGGAGGATGGAGAGTTCTGGTATGTCGGTTCTGGGTGGATCACTTTGAGGACAGTCAAGTCCAAACTTCAGCAACCCCTATTTCTGTGTTAGGATGTCGTTTGGGGAGTTTCTGCGCCAGTTCTCACGCTTGGAGATATGCAATCTGACTCCAGACGCTCTCAGCCAGGACACCACCAGCTTCTGGACCACCGCCACGTTTAACGGCAGCTGGAGGAAGGGAAGCACCGCCGGGGGCTGCAGGAACCACCCGAGTAAGGCCGGAGAACTGAACAGAGACTCCTTTCCTCCAGAGCCGTCAGCAGCGCGAGTCGGCCGCGTCTCAGGAGCAGCATGTCGCGGCCCTTAAGCTTGGTTTATGCTTGACGCATTTACTTTCCACTTGGTGATGCAGCTCGCGGCTGGAACGCGCTTCACAACTTGCAGCGTTTATGGTTCATGCGGCTCGTCTCTGCGGTGAGCCAATATTCTCCCAAACTGTAGGGGGCAGCATGGAGCTCTACGGCATGCATCCAACACTACACCATAGTAGAAGTAGAAATTACTGTTGTTTACAACATGGCATTCCAGCATTTTTTAACAGCGTCCTCGTCTTTTCCGACAGTGCGAGCTATTTCTCTCCAAGAATTATTAACAACATGTTGATCACGGTGATCTCTGAGAGCTGAATCATACAAATGTCTGTATTTACCAACCTCTACCATACTAGTTCTTGCCAGTCCGCCATGTTTTTCCACGTCCGACCGTCCGCGTGGTTAGAAAATTTCCTAGGTGTGCGGTGTGGAAATTTTGGGCCATGCTGAGGCGCAGTGGAGGGGCGTGGTTGTTAAAATGATGCAATTTCGCCGCGCGAACCTCGCGGACGCGTCAAGCATAAACCAACGCCTCTGAAATGGGTCAAGTTCCACGTTTTTGGGGAAGGAAAGACAGGAAATCGGACGCGGAAACGGAGCAAAGCTTCCCGAGATTTTCAGAATAAAGAAACGTACTGCCTTCCGGTTGCTTTACTTTAAAAAAAGTTATCACCTAGCTAGCGGTCTCCTTTGTTTTTCCATAATGGCGATTATAAAACATAGAACATAAAACACAAACCTTTTGGAGCCATGTTGTAGTTTTCTCCTGCTTGTTGTTGTGTTTATTGATGAAGTCACGCGTGATTTTGCTAATGTCGCGTGACTTCGTGCTCGGTCGGTGACGGCTGCTCCCCTGCTACTTCGCGTCTCGTGGGAAGGGCCAAGCAGCAGCTTACGCGAGCAAGACGTGCTGCTGCATTCACGTGCTGCTGACGGCTCCTGTGGAAAGGAGGGGATAGCTACCCGCCACATTTTCATGACATGGTGATGGACAAAAATGAACCAAAAACATGAGAATCTGATATTTAAGTATTTTGTATTTAGGATTAAGGATAATTTAGTTGTCACATATCCAGAGTGTCACAACAAGAGGTGGGTAGGACGGGTGGGAATCAGGGAGACCAGCAGCTGCTCATCAGCGCAGCCTTCAACCTGCACTGCCCAGGGATTGGGAGTAGAGTTACAGGGATCAAGGGCGTCAGTTTGTTTTCAGAATTGCTGGGGACAATAACCATACACTTGAGTGGGGTTTAAAAATTGCTGGGGACAATAAAGTAGGCTAGCACAGGGGTCGGCACCATCTGATGCGGCTCTCTGTGCTTGTAAAATAATGAATGGATATTTAAATAAAAAGCTTTATATTTTACTGCATTAATTTTACATCTGTAAGCCAATTCTAAATGTAAAGATTGTCTGCATAAACCTGAACAGGTCCAACCCGGTCTTACTGTGAGACCGGGTTGACGCGTCACGCTTGTGCGTAATCATATCGGCACTTTATGAGCTGAAGGATGTGAGATTCTGGGATTCTCCTCAGACGGCTCCTGGATGTGTCGCCACATTGGAGACAGGAACAAGCACTATTCAGCCAAAGTTTCATAATCAGGGAACATTTTCTAAGTGACAAGTCTCTCTGAGAGACCGGGTTTGGAAAACACTCGCTTCAGTGGGAGGAATCTTCCCGCATGCGCTCTGGTTCTCTGCGTGGCTCTGGGGTTAATCAAGTTTAATTGTTTCTCTTTGCAACAATCTTCACAGGAAGGCAAAACAGTTAAACGGCAGGTTACAGATATTTCCATTTGACTGTTTATTTTGACAGATGAACTCAAGGATGTTGCTTGGTTTGAAAGAATTACCCCGACGCACACTGATGCGCATGGATGAGCTGACATTTTAATCGTTAACGCACATCGCGGAGGTAAAATGTTCCCATCAGAACATCAGAGCTTTATACTGGACACTGTGTTCAGCGCGGCTCGGAGCGCCCACGGTGGACAGTGAGCCGAAGATCTGGGGTTTGCAGCGCAGAACCACGCCGCATGCAATAAGATTTCCTCCCACTGAAACAGTCTGGAAACCCGGTCTCTCTGAGGGATGTGTCACTTGGAAAAATGTTCTTTTTATGAAATTATGAAACTTTGGCTGAACAGCGCTTGTTCCCGTCTCTAATATGGAGACGCATGACGCGTAGAGACATTTGATCACGCACAAAGTTCATGTGGAGCGCGCGGCGCGCCTAACTAGCGGCTGATGCACATTTTACGCATTTGGAGAGGTGGGCTGATACTTTGCGTTTACTGGAAGATGGTCCACTTAACGCACGGGTGTAGACTACATATTAATGACAAATGAATGAAAATTAAATTGTGAGTTTTTACTTCATATTTTATAAATAAAAAGGACGGGGGAACACATTTATGACGTCTTTTTAAACTAAATTTTCTAGCGCGACCTGCCTGCTTCACTTAAGTCACTGCTTATTAAGGTCCGTCCAGAATTACCGTGGGAAACAGGTAATAATGGCTCTTTGATGGGAACAGGTTGCCGACCCCTGGTATAAGATCTGAGCTGGTAAAACAAAAATCCTCATCAGCAGGCGTTTTTGAAAGTGGGGGGGACACAGCTGCCAATCACAAATTTTGCCGGGGACATGTCCCCGGCGTCCCCGGTTAAAATGACGCCTATGACAGGGATGCACAAGCACATTAAAAATAAAACTGGGAGTGCGTGCGTGCATGTGTGCATCAGTGTAAGTGACTCCATGAACTTTCAGTTCAGTTGCAATGTCCGTCGTCTTAGATGTAACAACACGACCTTCCACAAGCTGGCCAAGGAGCCCGAGGGAGGGGGTAGAGCATCTGCCTACATGAGGTTTTGGACGAATGGCCCTCCAAGTCTGACATGTGAAGGTCGAATTCAGATAACAGTATGTTTTGGTTCGGCTAGAGTGAGTTGTGTCTGCCTCGGTCTCCCAGCGATCTCTGGTCATTTCCAAACAGCCGAATAGGGTCAGTTTCTATCAAGCCGAGCTGTAAGCTTCTCCAAGTTCAGATCCATTCGCGGACGAGTTCTGAAAACCGAAGCTAGTTTAGAGCATCCAGCTTCTGGTTATGCTCGTTCGATGCGAGAGTCTGAGTGCTCAAAGCCCGACACGGCCTTTATAGAAGCTGGGTGGCCCGCCAGTTTCTCCCCCGACAGCTTCTGAGTCAGGAACCTGCCCACTCCACACAGCAGAATCCCCGTGATCATGACTTCTACATCATCAAAGGAACAGCCGCTTCAGACGCATCCCAGGAATTCATCACATATCCTACTGGGTGTGTTTGTGAAAGCAGGAGGAGCCCCCTTCTTCATTCTTAAATGTTTTTTATCAGTGGCATTCAGAGACCAGCTGACCAGATCCATCATTAGAAAGGTTCAGAGAGGCGTTCCAGCACAGAGCAGACAGGGTAGGGAGGGTAGAAGCAAGGCGACCGTCCTCGACTGCCCTTAACTGTAACTGAAACAACAGGCTGAACTAATGACAACAGATATTTTCTACCTTCGGGACATTAACTTCCATAAATGCAACGTCAAGAGTTCCAGCTTGTGTCGCTGTTCGGATGAATCCAACCTTTGTGTTTTTTCTTCTTTGCTAGAAAGATGAATTTGGTCTGCTGGAAGGACAGATCTGGAAGGTAGTTGTCTCTGTTCTCGTCAAAGACCGCAGCTCCTGAATTTGGACACCGCAACATGACTGAACTGACTGAGATGTGACAGGGGGCGGGGTTTAACAATAAATATGTGGGCATGACCAGAGAAAAATAACTGAGGTGAAGATAAAGCACGTGTTTACTGTTTACATCCACAAATCGGGGAGCTGAAGTCCGGTCCACGAATCCGGTTCTGTGGTCAGTTTCTCCTCAGGAGGTCCGGTGTTCTTGGGTTACAGTGATGAGGTGGGAGCAGGAGCTCAATGGGTCTTTTTCCTGAGCCCCAATTTGTCTTTAAAGTGACTACTTGTCCCATGATGCCTCTCTGCAGACACCTTCTGGATCAACCCTCAGTATAAGATCTCTCTGCTGGAGGAGGATGATGACCCCGATGATGACGAAGCTGCCTGCAGCTTCTTGGTGGCGCTGATGCAGAAGGACCGGCGCAGGTACCGCCGCCAGGGTCAGGACATGCACACCATCGGCTTCGCCGTCTATGAGGTCAGAGAGCAGAAATGATGTCACCGGTCTGCTGCCCTGAAAGTTCTCTAATGTCTTCATTATAAAACTTCTCCACTCCTGGAGAGAACGGGACTGGATCGCCGGTTCTAAAGTGAGACAATCAGAAACAGCTGTGGAACCGTCTCAGACTTGCTGTAACCATAGCAACACCATCAAACAAGTACTGGGCAAAAGCTTTAGGCAGGTGTGAAAAATGCTGTAAACACAGAATGCTTTCAGAGACGGACGCGTTAATCATTTATTTTCATCAGTCAACAAAAACAGTGGATGAACAAAAGAGAATCCAGATCAGATCGATATTTGGTGTGACCACCTGTTGACTTCAGCATCAGATCTTCTCGCTTCAACTGCACACAGCTGTTGAAGGAACTGGGCATCTTCGAGGACTAACCACAAATCTTCTGTGGATGTGGGCTTCGTGTGATCCCAGACGCACTCCATGATGTTGAGATCGGGGTTCTGTAGGGGCCAGACCATCACTTCAGGACTTCTTGTTTATGCTGAAGATATTTCTTAAAGAGCAAGTCACCCCCAAATCAACTTTTTTTTTACTGATAAACTATATTAATGAGTGTCTAATCATGCTGTAGACACGTGTAGTTAAAGAGCAAGTCACCCCCAAATCAACTTTTTTTTGCTGATAAACTACATAAATGCGTGTCTAATCGTGCTGCAGACACGCGTCGTCAATAATTCGGCACTTCAGTGCATCTTAGTTAAAATTTAAATATTCTGCCTAAAACTGGCAGTGTTGTGCTGTCGTCAGGTAAAAACTCTGCACTGTATTTTAATTTAAATCTGTCACCGCTATTGGCTAAGAAGTATGCTATGATGTAAACTGGTACATAATGATGTCACAATGCTGTCATGAGCCTGAGTGTGTGTGTGTATTTGTTAGCGGCTCCGCCCTCTCGGTCTGCCAGGCAACAGCATTTGTTGCATTTTTCAAACAGGAAGTGGGAGTGGAGTTAGACTCTGGTAGGGGGTGACTTGCTCTTTAATAATTTGACACTTTAAAGAGCAAGTCACCCCCTACCAGATTCTTACTCAACTCCCACTTCCTGTTTGAAAAATGCAACAAATGCTGTTGCCTAGCAGACCGAGAGGGCGGAGCCGCTAACAAATACACACACTCACGACGTTGTGACATCATAATGTACCATCTAACATCATAGTGTACTTCTTAGCCAATAGCGACGGCAGGTTTAAATTCAAATGCAGTGCTGAGTTTTTCCTGACGACGGTGCAACACTGACAGTTTTAGTTAGAAATTTTAAATTTTAACTAAGATGCACTAAAGTGACTAATTTTTGACTACACGTGTCTGCAGCACCATCAGACACTCATTTATATAGTTTATCAGCAAAAAAATGTTGATTTGGAGTGACTTGCTCTTTAACGCATCTTAGTTCAAATTTAAATTTTCTGCCTAAAACTGTCAGTGTTGCGCCGTTGTCAGGTAAAAACTCAGCATTACATTTGAATTGAAATCTGCCCCCGCTATTGGCTAAGAGGTACACAATGACGTCAGTTGGTACATTATGATGTCACAATGCTGTTGTGAGCCAATGTGTGTGTGTATTTGTTAGCGGCTCCGCCCTCTCGGTCTGCTAGGCAACAGCATTTGTTGCATTTTTCAAACAGGAAGTGGGAGTGGAGTAAGACTCTGGTAGGGGGTGACTTGCTCTTTAATGACTATGGCTGTAGGTTTGGGGTCACTCACTTTACATTTTGTAAATTGATCAAAAATAAACAATCATCATAATTATTTCTGAACGCATTCTTTGTTCACAGCATTTTTCACGCCTGCCTAAAACTTTTGCACGGTACTGATGGAGTTCTGAAGGTCAGGATCGTTACGTTTGATTGGTCCATCGGTGGAACAATCAGCCATGAACAAACAAGACTGAACTGAACCTGAGATGGTTCTGGTGGTCTGGATGTACACATACCTGTAGAGACGATTCCATGTCTTCACTCAGAACTTTGACCTTTCTTCGTGTTTTGTCTCCTTAACAGATTCCTCATGAGGTGAGTTCTTCTGCCGCTTTCGTTCTCCTCAGTTTTGGTTTTAAACTCGGCGTCCGTTCATCTGCTGACCCGGCAGTTCAAAGGATCTCAGAGTGTCCACCTGAAGAAAGACTTCTTCCTGCGCCATTCTTCCTGCGCACGGTCCGAGAACTTCATCAACCTGCGGGAGGTGAGCGCCAGGCTCCGCCTCCCACCTGGCGAGTACTTGATTGTCCCATCCACCTTTGAACCCTCAAAGGAAGCTGACTTTGTCCTGAGGGTGTTCACCGAGAAGCAATGTGAGACTAAGTGAGTTTGTGAGGCGAGGACCACCTTTGGTGTTGGTGTTCTTTGGCTTCTCCAGGTTAACGTGTAAATCTCTGCAGGGACATGGACGATGGCGTGGTGTTCAACTTGGAAGAGGAGGTGAAGAACAGAACTTAGTTCTCTAATAAGAGGTGTTTTGTTTATGTTGTGAAGCAACTCCCTTGTTGGTCTTCATCTCTGCAGCAGGAAATCACCGAGAGTGACATTGATGATTCCTTCAGGTCCATGTTCGCTCAGCTGTCTGGAGACGTGAGTCCGGTTCCAGGAACACTTTTATGGCTGCCCTAAACAGAACAATGGTTTAATCTCATCAAGGTTGTTTCCTTCTTCAGGACATGGAGATCTCAGTCCGAGAGCTCAGAACCATCCTCAACAGGGTTGTTTCCAAACGTGAGTTACACTGTGATGTGTTAGTCTAACAGAGCAGTCAGGTATCAGATCAGCTGATTCAACACGGCCAATCAGAACACGTGGTCACTGCACGCCACCTCCAGTCAGAAACAAGTTTACTCAGGACTTGAAGGGCACCTGATCTACCATCATCCATCCATCATTCAGTCATCTATCCATCATCCATCCATCACTCACCCATCCATCCATCCATTCATCCATCCATCCATTCATCTATCCATCCATCAACCATCCATGCACCAATCATCAACCCATTCATCTCGATCCATCCATCCATCATTCAATCATCTATTCATCATCCATCCATCACTCACCCATCCATCCATTCATCTATCTATCCATCAACCATCCATCCACCAATCATCAATCCATTCATCACCCATCCGTACTACACTTTCATCCATCCATCATCCATTCATCTATCCATCCATCAACCATCCATTCACCAATCATCAATCCATCCATACTACACTTTCATCCATCCATCCATCATCCATCCATACTACACTTTCATCCATCCATCATCCATCCATACTACACTTTCATCCATCCATCATCCATTCATCTATCCATCCATCAACCATCCATCCACTAATCATCAATCCATCCATCATCCATCCATCCACTAATCATCAATCCATCCATCATCCATCCATACTACACTTTCATCCATCCATCATCCATTCATCTATCCATCCATCAACCATCCATCCACTAATCATCAATCCATTCATCACCCATCCATACTACACTTTCATCCATCTATCATCCATTCATCTATCCATCCATCAACCATCCATCCACCAATCATCAATCCATTCATCATCCATCCGTACTACACTTTCATCCATCCATCATCCATTCATCCATCCATACTACACTTTCATCCATCCATCATCCATTCATCTATCCATCCATCAACCATCCATCCACTAATCATCAATCCATTCATCACCCATCCATACTACACTTTCATCCATCTATCATCCATTCATCTATCCATCCATCAACCATCCATCCACCAATCATCAATCCATTCATCACCCATCCATACTACACTTTCATCCATCCATCATCCATTCATCTATCCATCCATCAACCATCCATCCACCAATCATCAATCCATCCAGCATCCATCCATACTACACTTTCTTCCATCCATCATCCATTCATCTATCCATCCATCAACCATCCATCCACTAATCATCAATCCATCCAGCATCCATCCATACTACACTTTCTTCCATCCATCATCCATTCATCTATCCATCCATCAACCATCCATCCACTAATCATCAATCCATCCAGCATCCATCCATACTACACTTTCTTCCATCCATTATCCATTCATCTATCCATCCATCAACCATCCATCCACTAATCATCAATCCATCCATCATCCATCCATACTATACTTTCTTCCATCCATCATCCATTCATCTATCCATCCATCAACCATCCATCCACCAATCATCAATCCATCCAGCATCCATCCATACTACACTTTCTTCCATCCATCATCCATTCATCTATCCATCCATCAACCATCCATCCACCAATCATCAATCCATCCAGCATCCATCCATACTACACTTTCTTCCATCCATCATCCATTCATCTATCCATCCATCAACCATCCATCCACTAATCATCAATCCATCCATCATCCATCCATACTACACTTTCATCCATCCATCCATCATCCATCCATACTACACTTTCATCCATCCATCCATCATCCATCCATACTACACTTTCATCCATCCATCCATCATCCATCCATACTACACTTTCATCCATCCATCCATCATCCATCCATACTACACTTTCATCCATCCATCATCCATCCATACTACACTTTCATCCATCCATCCATCATCCATCCATACTACACTTTCATCCATCCATCCATCATCCATCCATACTACACTTTCATCCATCCATCCATCATCCATCCATACTACACTTTCATCCATCCATCATCCATCCATACTACACTTTCATCCATCCATCCATCATCCATCCATACTACACTTTCATCCATCCATCCATCATCCATCCATACTACACTTTCATCCATCCATCATCCATCCATACTACACTTTCATCCATCCATCCATCATCCATCCATACTACACTTTCATCCATCCATCATCCATCCATACTACACTTTCATCCATCCATCCATCATCCATCCATACTACACTTTCATTCATCCATCATCCATCCATACTACACTTTCATCCATCCATCATCCATTCATCTATCCATCCATCATCCATCCATCCACTAATCATCAATCCATCCATCATCCATCCATACTACACTTTCATCCATCCATCATCCATTCATCTATCCATCCATCAACCATCCATCCACTAATCATCAATCCATTCATCACCCATCCATACTACACTTTCATCCATCTATCATCCATTCATCTATCTATCCATCAACCATCCATGCACCAATCATCAATCCATTCATCACCCATCCGTACTACACTTTCATCCATCCATCCATCATCCATCCATACTACACTTTCATCCATCCATCATCCATCCATACTACACTTTCATCCATCCATCCATCATCCATCCATACTACACTTTCATCCATCCATCCATCATCCATCCATACTACACTTTCATCCATCCATCATCCATCCATACTACACTTTCATCCATCAATCATCCATTCATCTATCCATCCATCAACCATCCATACACTAATCATCAATCCATCCATCATCCATCCATACTACACTTTCATCCATCCATTCATCTCCATCCATCCATCCATTCATCCATCCATCCATCATTCATCCATCCATCCATCCATCCATCCATCCATCATCCATCCATCTGTCTTCTGTAGATGTTCTGGTGGTGCTACCATCTGAGGACTAGGTTGGTTCTGCTCTTGTGTTTGCAGACCGAGACCTTCAGACTGATGGGTTCAGCATGGAGTCCTGCAGGTCCATGGTCAGCCTCATGGACGTATCCTTTCAGCCCGAGGCAACCTGAAGCAGGTCTGCGTTAGTCAGGGTCAGAACACATGAACAGAACTGGGTTCAGGTTTTATTTCAGTCATGACTAGACGGGTTCTGGTGGTCCTGTTTGGTACAGACCTTGACTGGACCACAGAAAGATGGCAGCGCTCGGCTCGGTCTGCTGGAATTCCAGATTATTTGGAACAAGATCCGGAAGTGGTTGGTGAGCTGATCACAAAACCAGCCTGGTTCTGATTTAAAAGAACATCCCATCTGAGTCAGAGCCAGTTCTGGGTTCTATGGGTCTGGCAGCTTGAGACCTGGTGGTTCCAGTTCCAATGGCTTTGTTCGGTTGTGTTCCAGGCGATCTTCAGAGAGTTTGATCTTGATAGGTCGGGTTGCATGAACTCCTATGAGATGCGTCTGGCCCTGGAAAATGGAGGTAAGTTCTGTTGTTTGGTGCTTGTTCTGTTTCAGCGGGCGGGTCCGACAGGTTCTGCTTTCTGCAGGATTCAAACTGAACAACAAGTTGTACCAGATGCTGATCGCTCGTTACGCCGACAACGAGATCATCGACTTTGACAACTTCACCTGCTGCTTGATCCGACTGGAGGCCATGTTCAGTACGTACAGAACTGTGGTTCTGATGGGCCCAGAACTAAGCCAGCATGATCTCATCTGGTTTCTGTTCTGTAGGGATCTTCCAGGGTCTGGACCGAGACTGTACTGGAACTGTGGAGATAAACACTGTTGAGGTACCACAAGTTTACTGGGTCTCCAGAGTTTTAGTCTTTAAGTAGATTTAACATCACGACCTTCGAAGGTTAAAGAAAGTGTGTGTGTGTGTGTGTGTGTGTGTGTGTGTGTGTGTGTGTGTGTGTGTGTATTCCTGCTTCAGGCTTGAAGAGTGAGTTAACCAGCTAACTAGCGATGTGAGAAAATGTTGGGATAGTTTGTCTTATGATGCTGAATCTGTTTTCAAAAGCAGTAAATTGATTTTTATTTAGAATGTGCGTGTAAACATTTACTGTAAATATTCAGTAAAGTGCAATTCAAACTCCGACCGCTAGGTGGCAGCATTTTACACCATCTTCATTCTGGATGTGCCTTGGAAGCCTCTGGCCTGAGTTTTCCAATTAAACTCAGTCTTTAAACTTGCAGTTATCATCTAGATTTTAGTATTACAATATATCGTATTGTCAAATAACTAACTAACTAAATAACTAACTGAGGTACCCAGACCAGATGACCCATCAGCTGAGTGTTTCCTGTTTTCTGTGTCCTCAGTGGCTCTTTGTGACCATGTGTGGTTGAAACTCAGAGCGCCTCCTTCAGGATGGATTGGGAAACGTCCACAAGCCTCAGAACCAGACTGACGGGTCCACACCTCAGACCTCTGCTGCTGCAGCACCCCGCAGAACCTCCCCAGCATCAGCGGGTGGAGGCTCGCTCAGTCTGAACAACATAAACAACCATATTTATCTTAAACTTTATTAACCTGCATGAATCTGAACAACCAGCTCAGTTAGTCCTCTTGGACTCTTTCGGTCCACTCGAGACCAGAACCTTCTCCGTTAACAATGACAATCTGGATCCATGTCACAGTGCTCTCGTTCCAGAAATCCAGCCTGGATCTGGTCAGCTGCTTTCTTGTTAATAAACAAACAATTTGGTAAATAAACTAGGTGTGGTGAAGAGGTGCAGCGTGGTTCTGGAAGGAACTTGGTCCATTTTAGACTAGCAGGCTCCAGTCCTGGTCTTGATAGGCTGGACCTTGATAGTTTGAAGTTGGTTTTGATGTGAGCAGAAGCAGGAAGTGAATCTGTGTCCTCATCATCAGCAGACATGTTCATCTGATGTCAGAAACAGACTCAGAACTTTACCAGAACCTGGGCCGACCTGAGCCTGAAATCTGTCCTCATATTTGGGTCTGTTCAGGTTGAGTCCATTAAGGGGTTTGACCCATTTAATGCCAGAACCAAACGGTTCTGGATGCAACAGAACATGATGTTCAGAGAGAAGGGTGATACTGAATATAATGGCTGGTTCTTATTGGGTTTCATAGAACGGAACCATTCAAGACATGTACAAAAAAAATCGGATCCAATTAAGTAAGACATTTAAAAACATCCGAGTTCGTTCCTGAAGCACCCTCTTCATCTCACTGGTACCGGTTCTGATCACACACACGAGGACCCAGAGGACTAACAGAACCGTTCTGCTGTGGTTCTAGGTCAACCGCACACAGTACTGCTGACTGTCGTGCAGACAGAACCCTGTCTCTGAGCTACATCTATTATTGCTGTGTGTCTCAGCCTGTCAGTCACCGCTGAGGGTTTATATGACCTGAATAAAGTGCTGCTGAAATCAATCGGTGGTTGTTTTTGTCACGAGACCAACGGCCAGGTGAGCTGAATCAACACCTGTGGTGGGTTGCAGACTGTTAGATGTGAGAAGAATTCTGTTAGAGTTGTTGGACAAGTACAATAGCACTGTCCTCCCAGTTCTAACGGTAAAGAGTCATCTTCTCATACAACCTACGCTACCCGGCCCGGGCCGACCCGGTACAGATGGGAATGGCCCATTAGAGAATATTCCCGCTGTTCCACATTCAGGCAGAAACAAGTTGTGCTTTTAAGCCAAGAGGAGCCAGATCATTTCTTAGGTAAATTTGAAAAACCAGATAAACTGTATTTACCCTAAATAACCTCAGAGGCGCCCTAAAAAGCGCCTTCAAAAGTCGGCCATTTTATTAAATATAATAGTTTTTTGTGTCTGACAGCAAATACCCCCTCCTCCAGGTCGGATCATCCAATTAAAATGTTGGAAAAGCTCACGTGATGTTACATCTTCTTTCTGTGAGAGCTGTGTGCCGCCATCTAGCGCTGTATTCTGGAATTACATCCATATAAAACTTCCTACCGGAGACGTAAAAGATCTTCAGCGTCAATTGATGGCGTTGTTCTCTTTATACTAGAAATTAAGTATAAAACAGCAGAGAGACATGTCAATAAAAGCTAAAGGAAACATGAAATACATAAAATTTATAATAAATAATTAAGTTTGGGCTGCATGGTGGCGCAGTGGTTAGCACTGTTGCCTCGCAGCACGAAGGTTGCAGGTTCGAAACTCGGCTGCAGCCTTTCTGCGTGGAGTTGTGTGTTCTCCCCATGCATGCGTGGGTTTCCTCCGGGTACTCCGGTTTCCCCCACAGATCACAACATGCCCTATAAGTTATAAATAGTAAGTCGCTTTGGATTAAAAGCGTCTGCTAAATAAATAAACATAAACAAATTAAAAGCAGATTATAAATAAAACTAAAAACACAGCATTCTGTCGTCTCTGTGACGTTCCCAGGGGTGACATTTTTTATAGGGGGTCAGAAAAATTTTAGGGTGGCATTAGACTGTGGTGTTGGTGTCAGGTTTCCTGCTCATTGGCCTTGGAGGCTTCCTGGCTTACCGGAAAATTAACGAGCTGTCGAGGAATACTGGCCTGATCCCGGAGCTCAGAGATGGTTTGCACCACGCTGTGAATTCACAGACTCACATAATTGTCGAGATGAATCGTAAGCTTGGGACTTTGGCCGAGATTCATTCATTGGCACAGAAGATGGATGCCATCAAGGAGAGAGTGGAAGAATCAGCACGGATTAGGATAGATTACTGTCCATTATTGGGATTTTGAGAGGTTGAGGACCAAGAAACTGTAAGACAGAGAGGAAATTATCTCTGTCTGGCCCCAAAACAATTTCTAATCAGAACCTGGCGCCCTTGAGCCTGCAAGGCTCCAACGAAAACTCCCCCCTCAGAAGATATGTGGAATGTGCCGTCGCTATGGCAACTCAACTCTGTCTCCTTTGCCAGCCTGGGCGGGACTGCGGGAAGGCCGCTGAAACGTTCCAGGGTCACTGCAACCCTCCAACCCTCAATGCTCCTCCCCCTATCCACACTGAGGTGACATGCGCTGCTTATCGTGGCTGCAGGAACTGAAGTGTGGATAGTCCCAACCCACCACCCCACCTAGTGGACATTTATGTTGTGTTGTCTGAAGTCTGTTGCATTTCTCTCTGAGGTGTTTTTTTGCAGAGCAAAGCTGCCCTCCCTGTGGAGGATAACTCTGAAGTGCCTTTTTTCCTCCACCTGAACCAATCCTCATGTAACCCTCTTATCTCTATTAAGGTAGCACAAGTCATGGTTGCAAAGGACCACAGTCACCAACTCTTGTCATGTGTCTTGCCCATGTATGTCTGATCTCTGAATTGTGCGTACTGAAACTAATTTCCCTCTGGGATTAATAAAGTATCTTTGAATTGAATTTGAATTCAAATGAATCCAACTTTGCCGCTTCCCTCATTTATGACTGGTTTTACATTTATGTCTTGAAGAAGTTTAAATTTGTGGGGTTTTGTGAATATAAATATAAAGTTTTTAAGTGTGTCCCGGAGGTGTTACCGGGCCCCTTAAGTGATACCGGTTCGGTTGTTTTAAGAACTACAACAGTTCTAAGCAGATTCCAGAGACTAACGACAGAAACTGTTAAAATCAGATGAATGTTTGTTTTTATTTGTAATCTGATGTTTAACAGACAAAAACTTGCATCACCTAAACGGTGTTTGAGAGTCCAGAACCGTTCTGGTTCCATGCTGCCTCGGTGTTCTACCAGCCTCTGTTGCAATTTAAAAAGTGTCTCATTTTAGTCTTAGTCCTTAGTTCTGGTGGTCCCGTCCGTCCCGGGTCTCCAGCGGGCCAAGCAGCACAGCCTGGGCCTCCAGCAGCGTCGTATCGGTCTGCCCCCCCAGGAACCGGGAGCTGAGCTCCAGGTCCTGGACCCGCAGCCGGACTCTGGATCCACGTTGCAGCTTCTCTCCTCCGACCGCGGGCCGCCGACAGACGCAGTGGAACTTCCCCCCGAAGTCGATGTACAGGTCGTCCTTAACCACGTGGATGATCCTCCCGACCACCACCTTGTCTCGGGCTGGTCCCATCTGAATTAGCGGGGACCGGCGGAGCAGCGCGGCAAAGCTCTCTTTCTGTCCGAAGGAGGCGCCTCTCAGCCCGTCGGCGGAGCTCTCGGCTTCCCGCCGAAGCTCCGTCTGCTGCTCAAAGGCGGCGGCGAACCCGGACCTCGGTCTGTCTGTGGCGTCCGAGCTGAACGAAGTCCGGACAGAACCGCGGGAGGAGAACCGGACCGCAGACCCCAAACCGAACCGAAGCCTACATAGAGCCGCCATGATGTCCTACACCACCGGAAAAAGACGACTTCTAGTTGTACTTCCTGTGTGTGTACTTCCTGTGTGTGTACTTCCTGTGTGTGTACTTCCTGTGTGTGTCGGTAACCTCACGTTATCACCTGCTGGCCAAAAGTAGAAAAGTATCTACCGTACATCAGAAACCAGAAAACAATTAATAGAATAGAATACTATCTCAAATTCCCAATCCCTCCTAAAGCCAAGGAAGTTCATTTTAAAACTATAAACAATATTTATCCTTGCAAAGATTTCTTGCAGTCTAAATTTAATATTGGAGAGAACGATTGTGCCTTTTGCACTTCTAATATAGAATCTGAGATACATTTATTCTTCACATGCATCTTTACCAAATGTTTCTGGGATAGTTTTCACTCGTGGTTAACGCATAACCAGTTGAGGTGGTTTGGGCATCTGGTCAGGATGCCTCCTGGACGCCTCCCCGGGGAGGTGTTTCGGGCATGTCCTGCCGGCAGAAGGCCCCCAGGTCGACCCAGGACACGTTGGAGAGGTTACATCTCCAATCTGGTCCGGGAACGCCTTGGGGTCCTGCCGGAGGAGCTGGTGGACAAGGCCGGGGAGAGGACGGCCTGGAGCTCCCTAATTGGTATGCTGCCCCCGCGACCCGGACCCGGATAAGCGGAGGAAGACGAAGACGAAGACGAAGGTTAACGCATAACAATTTCATTATACGCTCCTTATCTTTTACTGACATCAAGTATGGTATTATTTTGGAAAATAAAATGCAGCAATTCACTGTCAATAATTTGATTATTTTCGCTAAATTCTTTATTCACAAATGTAAATTTGGCAATATCAAACCGATCTTTATTGTTTTTTTGAAAGAACTTCCATCCTTTATGGATTCTCTTAAATTATGTAGTTCCAAGAAAGCCATTTGGCTCTATAACAATTTGGTGAATGTTTCCTTTACCCCTAATGTTGTTTGATGTAATATATATATATATATATATATATATATATATATATATATATATATATATATATATATATATATATTAATTTTTTATTTTTGGTTATGATTTCTGCAGGTTGATATTGAGCTAGGTTAATATTATTGTTTCTGTTTGTACACCTGCTTTTTTTTTTGTTTTGTCATGCTCAGAATTCAACTGTAAATATTGATTCTTATGTAAGCCTGTAAGCTTCATTGGTTAAATAAAACTTGTTTAAAAAAAGAATAGAATAGAATAGAATTAATTGATCCCACAGTGGGGAAATTCATTCTTTACAGCAGCATCAACACTTAGTGTGTGAATGGATGAATGATACTCTACAGTGTAAAGTGCTTTGGAGTCCTCTGACTGAAAGGCGCTATACAAGTGCGGGCCATTTATCACTTATCATTCATTAAGAGAATAATTTGAAGAAAAATAATAACAAGTTACATGTATATACACATAAGCTATTATTGTAACCTTTGACCACTAAAAACCACAAATAAAAATGAAAAATTTAAAGTAAGTAATTTTTTTTTATTCATAGATCACATTCTGTTTACATTTGCAATAACATACATTTAAGTGTTAACAATTAATTTACGAAAATGAAACAAACAGAAAGATATTATTATTATTATTATTATTATTATTATTATTAGGGAGAGCAGAGCCCCGACCCCATTTGGCGGCTGAAATCACGTGTGGTATTTAAGCAGCTAGGTAAAACTGCGCTTACACTCTATCTTACATAAAATTGATTAGTGGATCACTAAACAAAAAAGCTTTAAAAACTAAACAAAAAAGCTTTAAAAACTATAACTATTTGCACCAGCTATAATTTATTTGGATGTGTGTAACATTTCTGTAGTGCACGTGCACCCCCTGGCATATGTTTCATCTTCTTTGTTCAATTTTGTATACAATTTGTTTGTTTACTTATCACCTTGTTCAATAAAGTTTTGAAGAAAAAAAGTAAAAAAAAAAAAAGAAGGTAAAACTGCGCTTGCGCAAGAGCTGTACCACACAAAAAGACAAGATGGAAGTGTTTGTCTGTACTCCGACTTTATGGCGTTCTACCTGCGTGTTTCCACATGGTTCTGTGGTCAGAGACGCGGTGAACCGGTTCGTTCCGCAGCAGGTTGGTGTTTGAAGCGGACAGAGTCCGAACCAGAAACTAATCTGGGTTTAAATTGGACCTGGGAGGGAGGTTAGTTTAGTGTTAGCATCTTGAGCTAACGGACCCGAGGTAGTTTTGTTTGGTGAGTTCGTTACCGATGGATGTTTCAAACAGGTTTATTCTCACCTATAAACCAAGTTGTTTTTGGATCACGTGCGTTTTAACGGGTTTTAGCAATTTTAATTTATAGAGGTTTTCAAACACTGATGGTAATTAAATTAAAGCAGCTTTTATACTATATTTCACAGTGTTTGAACCGTAGTGGTTACGGTTATTATTGCCCCTCGGAGTGAACATCATGAATATTCTATGAATGCATAAATACCAGTCAGATTGGGTCACATCGCTGTTGACTGAGGGATTCTACTGGATTCGTTCTGCTGACTGAACTGGAGTTTCTGGGTTTAAGGGTGTGGAGTACCACATGGTCCTGTTTTGGGATCCATACTAGTTTATGTAATTGTGTGAGTCTTGTTCAGAAGAACCAGAAGTGTTCGTGTTCTTCTCTGGTCTGTTCTGTTGACTGTTCTCTGTACTGTTTAATCACATAACTGGACCCAGATTCTGATGGGTTCTTCAGTAACTTCTGCAGATGTTTAAAGGTCCAGAACCTGTCTGGGTCAAACATGGATGTCTCCTGTTTTTTTTTTTTTTTTTTTGCTTTGTGATATAATATTAATCAGGTTTCAACACGTTAGAGGTATGTTTGATATTCCCTTCAGGGCCACTGTACACATCCCAGCACCTCCTGTAGCATAAACGCTAAAGTCCTACATGTAGCCATTAATGGTCTCTGTGTTCAGATCTATTTTTGTTGGTTTTATTTAGATTTAGTCTTTTTAGGGTCCGTTATCCTTTAAAGATTATCTGTGTGACGTGTTTAAATCTTTTAATTATCACTGATTATTTTTCATTCTTACATTTGGAGTATTTCCTGCACTTCTCTCAGTTTGTGTTTGTAACCAGTGCCGTGGAAACATATTTTCCTAAGGGGGTGCTGCGATCAGCCACTTACAAAAACCGCACATGTGTTTAACATGTTTATGTATAGTTATGTGAAATAGTAGCTGGGGATGATCCGATCCGATCACATGATCGGAAATCGGTCCCGATCACGTGGTTTCAGACTGATCGGGACTCGGGCTTTACTTCCCGATCCAAGCCCCGATCCGGACTCGGAATACTGGGTTCAAATTACAGGAGAGCAACTTGGTTCTCCTTAAAGGTTGTCAGGCTCCCCTGATGCCCTTAGCTTACACACCCAGCAGGAGCCCAAAAGAGATCCAGTTTCTACCTATTTTATATTATTTATATGGACTCAGCGTAGCGGGGGTTCTTCTGAGCAGAGATGCAGAGCGGCAGGCAGACCGCTGATTATTCATGAAGTCCAGCTGCGTTCTGCACATGGCCACAGTCACATGTTCTAAGTTTCTAAGTGGCGTCACCAAAAAATGTATAATTAATACACAGTCGTTCCTGTCCGTTCATTTCTCTGGTAAGTTCTGTCTGTATTTGGGGGCCGAGGCAAAATAGACCCCTGCCAGGTATTTTAATTTGAATTGCTATCTGTTTTTATATTAGACTTTTTATATTTGCAGTAAAGTCCAAAAGTGAAGAATTTATGTTATTTATTACTTGATTGTTCACGCTACCTCACAGAAGTGATCTGTTGTTAAAAATTAAAATAAAAAGGTAATTAAATAAAAAAAAGGAACATTCTGGAACTGTTCCTTTTTTTATGTGTCGAAAGAATCGGATCGGGACTCGGTATCGGAAGATTCTCTAAATCAAATGATCGGACTCGAGGGCAAAAAACACCTGATCGGGACATCCCTAATAGTAGTAAGCCTTAATTATTCTTGGTTCCTTCTTCTACCAGGGTGTCCGCGGGTCCTTAAAGAGTCTTAAAGTCTTACATTTGCTTTTCCAAATTTAAGGTCTTAAAAATCCTTAAAAATGACAAATAATCCTTAAATACAGTTTCCAGAGGTCTTAAATGACCAAAGACCCAATAAATAAGATTATTTTATTTCTATAAAGTTTTCATGAATTTCTAGTTAGTGTTCAGCTTTTTTGTGTACGATGTTGCCGTAAGCGGAACCGTACACATTCAGTTGGTTGTGAAAGGGGGCTTTTTTAGATGAGCACGTTAGCTGGTTAAGCTAGTGGGAGCTTGCGCCATCCCACGATCGCGACGTGGTTAGCTCCGGTTCCAGGCAATAGCTGGAAATTATAGCTTAAATTTGGTCTAAATGGCCTTAAAAAAGGTCTTAAATTTGGCTCCCTTAAACCTGCAGATACCTTGTGTTGAGAAACTGTCTGGTGTGTTTTCGTGTGTGACCCAAAATGTAGCTGCGTACGCTAAACGTGTAAAAGATGTGGATTTTGTGGGTTATTTTTAGAACGTAACTCAGGATTAAGGACCACTGTAACGAGCACAGATCTGATCAACAAGCCATCAGCCTTTCCACACAGAGCGAACTAAGAGCAACAATCGATTCAGTCTTACTTACTTTTATGATGGGTTTCTCATCTCGATCACGAATCAGCAGGCAAATAAACAAGTGTCCCTGTGTACACACACATCTTACATCTTATATATAAGATAGCTCGGTGTATATTTGACACACAAAAAGGTTTTTGAAATAATATTATGTACTTCTAGATGTGTTCAATTAAACTCAAAACAAAATCTAATAAAATTATTTAACTTTTGCTTGCAGAATATCAACATGCATATAATTTGTCATCCACAAGGGGGTGCTGCAGCACCCTCACGCCGGGGACACACTGGCCGCGGAAGCGCCGCGAAAATGGGACCGCCTTCATTTGGCGCCCTTGTTAAGCTATTCTATAGACCACATGGACCGCCGAAGCGCCGCGAAGCGCCTCGCGCCGGCGCTCCAGCTCGCGCCGTGCAGCGATCATTTCGGCGTCGGCTCTATTTTTTTCGCGAGCCGCGGGTGAATCGCGTCAATTCTGGCAGGAAGTCAAACCTAGACATAAGAGGCAGGCTGGTAAAGTTAATAAAATAAAGCATTTCAAAATAAAATTACGCAATCAAATGTGTTCGTAATCAGACACTGCAGAAAAACCACACAAACACACACACACATACACACACATCGAACTTGTGTGCGTGTGTGACCACGTGAAGGGGGGTGTGGTTTTGGGTGTCTTTTCACCGGAGCAAACAGGACAGAGGCAGAAAGTCTGAGGCAAGCAGTTAAGATGGATGACTTTAAATTAATTATGGAAGTTGAGAAACACAAGGAGCTGTACGACCCCCGAAAAACATGATTATTTACGTACCCATGTCGGAAGAAACTGCTAGGATACAGCTGCAGAATTGGAGCGGGTTCCAAGAGATTCAACTGGCAGCAACATAGGTACACACACACACACACACACACACACACACGTGTCCACGTTCAAGGAAAATATTTATTTATAATATTATTTCACACACACACGTACGCACGCGCGCACAAACACTCCAACGTAGAGGAAAAGAGCTGAGAAAAGGCAGAGAGGAAATGGAGGACGCCAAATGTTTAAAAGAAAAACTACAGCTGAGCCGAGGCGCACCTCGACTGGGGCGCGTCTGATCTGAACTGAGGAGCGGCGAGCAGCGGCCGAATTTCGTGAGCGATTCGCTTCGCGGCGCATCCGCGGCCGGTGTGTCCCCGGCGTCAGGCTGCCGGTCCTCTCCAGGTCTTCATCTCCGTGGATTTTATCTGGTTGAAAAAAGCTTTATTAAAAATGAAAATACATGAACAGTTTCACGGTTTTCTTTCAGGATTTTTACGTCACCACAAACGGCCGCCTGGCTCACCTGGATGATCCTCTGCAGAATGGCGCCATCTACCACCTGGAGCCCCGCCTTTGTGGAGGGAAAGGAGGTCCGTACCGGGAAGTACTCGGGGCCCCTGTGGCTTAAGGCTGTGGCTGAGGCTATCGTGTGTTTCAGGTTTTGGATCGATGCTGAGAGCGCTGGGTGCTCAGATCGAGAAGACCACCAACCGAGAGGCCTGCAGAGATCTGAGCGGCCGACGCCTCCGAGACGTCAACCATGAGAAAGAGTAAGCTCTGCTCACTCCACCGTATACCTTTGTTTCTTGTTTTATGTTTATTTTTCTAGCTTGAAATCTTATCTCTGGGCTTTTATTGTGAAAAGCCAACATGGATCCAGAAGCAGGAAGTGAAACAGAACCAGAACTTATTCTGTTTCTATGTTGTCTGAATGATGCTGTAGAGCAGGGGTCGATAAATAATAAGCAGGAAAAGGGCACATCTGCATAGCGACGTCACACGTCCTGCAGCAGCTCTACTTCCTGTCCAGCAGGTCTGAGTTTGGTTCTGACCTGTTTAACATCAGACGTGTAGAACCAAGTCCGGCTGTCCAGGTGATCTTCATCAGCAGGAAGAAACCAGACCCCATTGTTCTTCTGTGGTACATGCAGGATGGCCGAGTGGCTGAAGAAGCAGGCGGAGCGCGAAGCCGAAAAGGAGCAGCGGCGTCTGGAGCGGCTGCAGAGGAAGCTGGCTGAACCCAAACACCAGTTCACCGACCCAGAATACCAGCGGCAGTGCCACGACCTGAGCGAGAGGCTGGAAGACTCTGTGCTCAAAGGTCCTACTTGCTTCATCATGACATGCATGCTGGAGTTCTGCTGCAGGTGTGCGACTAAAGTTTGTGTGTGTGCGTGCGTGCGCCTGCAGGTCTGCAGGTGTCCTCCAGCTCTCAGGTGAAGGTCAGCGATGACTCCACCCCCAAGAGGAGGAGCACTAATCTGAGTAAACAGCCACAGAAGAAGAAGAAAAAGACAGTGGCTGGTCTCTGGTCAGTTTGGATTTTAAATGATCTTTATCATAACCAGAGTATGTGATAAGTCAGGTAACCTGTTGCCATGGTTACAGGTCAGGACTGGACGGGCTGGAAGAGTTTTCGAGTTCAGAGGATGGAGATGATGATGATGATGGGTTTCCATGTACGTCCTCACTTGGCGACCGAGAAGGTGCCGTTACCATGACAACATCAATAAAGAAAGCAGAGCCTGAAGTCTGTAGCAGGTAGGATCACATGTTCCACCAGCCTAGTGAGCTAGACCAGATTCTTGCTTTGCAACGTTCTGTCTAGAACGCTCCACTGGAACCTCCGCAGCCCCTAGCAGCATTCTGGCTGGCCAATCACAGCTCTCCTTAGGGGTTTCAATCCTATAGAGTGCCGTGATTGGTCCACAATGGTGGGCCAATCACAGTGCTCTATCTGCTTTGTGGGCCAATCAGGGCCCTCTATTCGTCTGGTGGGCGGGATGTTGCAACCGAGTAGAACAAGATGGCGACAGCTCGTTTGAAACAGCTTTTACATCTTTTTTTTTTTTTTGGACTATGTGGACGTGGTCTTTATTAGACTCAGGAGCAGATGGATGTGTCTTTGCCTTACCGCCTCGTTTACGGACATCCGTCGCGGTGAGTACGTCACCTTGTTCGTTGTCCAGTAGCATGCGGAGATCCTTTGAAAGACAGCGGTAGAACCCGCCCCACGACTGAGAGCCATCAATGGAGCGTTGCCTGGCTTCCCGGGCTGATGTTCCACATCACTCTCTCAGAACCGTAAACAAATGACAACATGTGATGGAATTGGTTAGAAGGCCCAGTTCAGCACCACACCTGACCCGGATTAGGTCCAGAGTCGGGCTGGTTGATCAGATAAGTGCTGTTCTGACCTGATGTTGGTTTGGGTCAGCGATTTAAAAACGGCCGTTTTAGCCGTCACCTTATTGACACGACTGCAGTTATATTAACTATTAAAGATGGCAGTAAGGACCGGTTCCTCTCCCACAGCACCAGTTCACATTCAGGTGTTCCGGGTCAGGGGAACCAGCTGACTGAAGCTTCGTTTTAGTGTAGCTCAGAGCTTGAGTGGTTAGAAGTTTGGTTCTGAACCATAACCGGAACAGCCTGGCCTGCCAGACCCATCCTGTCTACAGAGAACTTCCCATAACGAAGCACGGGGCTGGTGGGTCGGGCTACGACCGGAACCACAGGAGAACAAAATCGGAACATTTGTTAACCTTCTTTAAACATTCTTTCAGCTCATCAGACCGCAGCTCTGCTTCAGTTGAACTAGAGCCCGGGCCCCCAGGAGAGCAGAGACCAGAAGACCAGAGACCCGGGCCTTCAGGAGAGCAGAGACCCGGGCCCTCAGGAGAGCAGAGACCCGGGCCCTCAGGAGAGCAGAGACCAGAAGACCAGAGACCCGGGCCCTCAGGAGAGCAGAGACCAGAAGACCAGAGACCCGGGCCCTCAGGAGAGCAGAGACCAGAAGACCAGAGACCCGGGCCCTCAGGAGAGCAGAGACCCGGGCCCTCAGGAGAGCAGAGACCCGGGCCCTCAGGAGAGCAGAGACCCGGGCCCTCAGGAGAGCAGAGACCAGAAGACCAGAGACCCGGGCCCTCAGGAGAGCAGAGACCAGAAGACCAGAGACCCGGGCCCTCAGGAGAGCAGAGACCAGAAGACCAGAGACCCGGGCCCTCAGGAGACCAGAGGCCTCCAGAAACTTCAGAGTCCAGGTGTCTGTCTCATAAGGTCAGAACCTGGTCTTCAGATTCAGAAACATTTTAGATCAAAACTGTTTTTGTGTTGAAAGAGCAAACTGCTGCTGAAGAGGGCGGTTCTGGTCTCTTATCTGGGCTAGGTGGTCCTGTGAACAGCCTCAGTTAAGCCGGGCGTACACGGTGCCACTTTTTCACTTTTTTGAGCCGATTTTCCACTCGTGCGAGAATCCACGAGATCGGGGCGAGTTTTGCGCCGAGCGGTCGTGTACAGGGGTTACGAGAGGCGATTAACACCACGTGACCAGCCGCCGATCAGCAGTCGTGAGCTCGCACGGACTTCTGGCGTGTTTGATATTTTGCTCGTCCCTCGTGAGGGTGTCGCACTGTTGAAGCGGCGCTGCGAGCAGCTGCGACCCAAAAAGTACCAGAACCGCTCACGGCGCATGCGCAATCCTGCATCAACACCGTTCGCCCGCTATTTCCCTAATAACACACGCTGTTCGTTTTTATTTCTACATGTTTTTTACTCACAAAGATTGTCAAGAAAGCGTGTTTGTCGTGTTCATGTCAAATTAAACTGATCACAAAACACAGATTTACTTTCTTTATTTCGTTTTCCTCATCCAACCCCCATAAATCCCTGTGTGTCCTCCTGCAGCACTCCCGAAGGACAACAGGCAAGACGAGACCAAAAAGTCTGACGTGTTGAGTAAAAACTGCTATTTTTAGCATATTTTTAGGGCCGACGTGTTGCTACCAGACGTACAGTGTGAGCGCATGACTCGTGAGATCTGCCCTGCGAGGAAGTCGTACCGTTTGAGCTGAAGCTGAGTGCTACGAGTGAAAAAGTCGCACGGTGTCCGCCCGGCTTTAGGAGAACCAGAGTAGGTCTGATTCCAAAAATGGAACCCTACTTCTTCCGATCCTGTGGACTAGATGGTCCTAGTCCAGACCCGTGTCTGAAGGGTTTTTGTTTAATAAACATTTATTTTTTAAACTGCTATAGAATCTGGATCTGCTGGTTCTGATGCGTTCCTGTTGTTTCCACAGCTGGACCTGTCTTCTGTGACGTCCGTCCAGCAGCTAGAGTCTCTAGGTCTGGACGTTCTGAAGGAGGAACTCTCGTCTCGGGGGTTGAAGTGCGGGGGAACGCTGCCAGAGCGCGCTGCTCGACTCTTCTCCATCAGAGGCTTGTCTCCGAGTCAGATCAATCCGGTTCTGCTCGCCAAACCCGCCAAAGCCAAACCGAAGTGAAGGAGCATCTTTCAGGCTGTCGGACTCAAAAACTGGTTCCAGCCAGGAGGACAGGATGTTCTGCTGTGGGACTTCCTGTCCAGCTGTTACAGATGAAAGGATCTGATCTTTTATTTAGTTTTATTTTATTAAAGTCTTTCTGAAACAACGTGTCCAGCTTCTTTGTCCAGAACCTCAAACTTTACAGTAGTGCATGATGGGACATTAGAATCCAGGGTCCCAGGAAGTGACCTGAGGGACGTCCACCTCCTCGAAGCACTCGATGACATCACCGGTGCTGAAGTCCACGTCACCGTCAGCCGACAGGCCGCATTCCTTTCCCGTCTTCACCGTCTGCACGTCGTCTTTGTGGTGCTTCAGCGCCGTCAGGGTACCTGCGAGAAACATGGCATCGTCGACCCGGTTCTGATCCAGACCCACTCTAACCACTTGCAGTTTTGGGAGGGTCCTGGTTTCACTCACCCTCCCACACCACATCACGTCCTCGGATCAGCCGGAACCGGAGGCGCCGGTCCAGGTGCCCTTTCTGGACACGGCAGCCGGCCACCGGAACCTTCTTCTTCCCCTCGGAGACGTAGAAGGTGGCGAGCACGGTTGCCTCACCTGGAGCAGAGGAGACGGAAAACCCGCGTTAGCGGTTCTGAGCCTATTAAATTCCATGAAATCAGTTCACTTCGAGTTCTGTGGTTCTGGTACCCAAGAGCTCTGCCCCCCCCTCCACGAGGTATTCATCAGGGATAGGTTCTGAAACGGCTCGTTTCCACGACAACCAACCAGACTCACCAATGACGTTCCGGGAGACGAGCGGCGGCAGCTTGCTGCTCAGCTCCTCCTTCAGCTGCTCCAACAGCTTGTAGATGACCGAGTGGAGACGCAGTGGGACGCCTTTTTTTGCCGCCAGTTGTTGCACTGGTCGGGCGGCCGCCACGTTGAAGCCGTAGATGGAGCCTGAGGAAGTAGGAGGAGCCTAAGACAAACTCAGCTCTTCTAAACGGTTCGCTTCACCCCCATCGCTCAACCTAAGTTACCCAGCAACCCCACAGGTGACGGCTCTGCTCTGGTCTTACAGCCAGCTACACAACCGACACCTGAACAGGTAAGCGGAACCGTGGCGGTGCCTCCTGCTGCTTGTACCTCCAAACGTTTCCGCCATGGTCACGTCCTTCTCGGAGATATCCCCGATGCCAAAGCTGACCACCTCCAGCTGGCACTGCTGCTGCGCATCGTACGTGTCCAGCATGTTCAGCAGCGTCTCCACCGAACCGTCGACGTCACCTATTGGACGGTCGGGTAAGTGGATGACGTAACGAAGAGAAGAGCATAACGGGGGGGCAAGCGGTTCCTACCTTTGATGATGAGGGGTAAGTTAGGCTGTTCACTCTGCGTCCGCTCACTCGGCCTCGTGGCACAGCGAGTCTTATTGGCCTGGTATAGAGCTGCCTTTCTCTTGCGCCAGCTCAGGTGAGTTAGCTCCGCCCGCTTCTGCTGGTACTCCTCCAGGTGAAGCTTATGTTTCAGGCTGATGGCACTCTGATCCTCCAGGAGCTTCTGCTCCTCCTCCTCGTGAGTCCTCCACTCCACCACCTCCTTTGCTCGTTGCTGCAGGAGAGCGGTCATCACAGGCTTTTATTGTGGCGATCACCAACAGGAAGTAGTTCAATCACAGCAGAACAGAACATCTTTTCATAAACACAAGAGCAAAAGGACCTGACCTCAGACTCGACCTCCAGGATGGTCTCTCCAGCCGACGGGAGCTCCTTCCAGCCGACCACCTGGACCGCAGCGCTTGGCCCCGCCTCCGTCACCACCTGCCCGTTGTCATCGTAGAGGAAGCGTACTTTAGCCCAGCACCTCCCTGCCACCAAGAAGCAGCCTCGCTTCAGTGTCCCCCGCTGGACGATGGCTGTGGTTACGGGTCTGAGGAGACACCAGCGTTTGGGTCACGGAACCGGTTCTGCTGGTTTTACTGGGACCAGTGAGGACAACTCACCCTTTGCCTTTATCTGTCCTGCTCTCAATGACCAGCCCCTCCACGGGACCGCTGGGGTCTGCCTTCAACTCCAAAACCTCTGCCAGCGCCACGGTGGCCTCGGTCAGCGCCGGCAGGTTGTCACCCTGGCGACAATGACATCATCACGCTGACCTTTAGGGGTTGGTTATCTACGGGTGGGATGTGCACGTGTCACAAAGTGGTCCAACCTTCAGAGCAGAGATGTGGATCGCCTGGACGTCTCCTCCGAACTCCTCACAGACGACGTCGTGGGCGAGCAGCTCCTGCTTGACTCTTTGAGGGTCGGCCTGGGGCTTGTCACACTTGTTCACGGCTACAATGATGGGAACTGGACACACACACACACACACACACACACACACACGTTAAGGAGCAGAAAAACAACGGAGTTTTTCAGCCCTCAGTTGTGTCTGCTAGGCTCACCTTCAGCCCTTTTGGCGTGCTGGATGGACTCTACCGTCTGGTTCATGACACCATCATCGGCTGCCACCACCAGGATGATGATGTCAGTGGCGTTAACACCGCGGGCTCTCATGGAAGAGAAGGCAGAATGACCAGGTGTATCCAGGAAGGTGATCTTCTCACCTGTGGGCACTTGGACTGAGAGACAGAGGATCACAGTCAGGAGGCTTCACTACGTGAACGCCTGCTCTGTGCTGGAACTTTACCCAGAAAGGCTCCAATGTGCTGAGTGATGCCTCCAGCTTCCATGGAGACGATCTGACTCTTCCTCAGGCTGTCCAGCAGCGTGGTCTTCCCGTGGTCCACGTGGCCCATAATGGTGACTACAGGGGGGCGACTCACCAGGACCGAAGGGTCTGCCAGAGGTCTGGAAGGTTGGGTCAGAGCGTCAAAACAAAATCCTTTGATAATACTTCAGCTGTGATCTGATTGGTCAGCACTAACCCACCGGATCAGACCGGATTTGTTAAAATCTACTCCTGTTTTTTTTATTATTTCTGTCTGCTGCAGCTTTGCCCTCTTATCCAGGACAAACGTCTCCCATGGGAGCTCGGTGTGTCGCTGCGTTCTGATTGGTCGGTCACTGGTTAGAACCGCAACCTTGTCTTGGACCCAAATTCACGCTACCTCCTCTGGGCATCCCTGTTGGGTCGCTCTTTCCTCTCGCTCAGCGTGGCCCACTTAAACTTCATGCCCGACCGGGTTACCACCTCCTTGATCCACTTCTCCTCCAGAACCGAGTCTGGATGCAGAGAGTCCAGGTCCACTGAGGTGTTGAACAGAGTCTCCAGGACATGATCTTCAGAAGAACACAGGGAGGGTTTCAGCTGAGTTCAGTGAGCCCAGAAGAACAGGGACGGTTCTGACGTTTCCTACCGAAGTCTTTGTTCATGGCTGTTGACAGCGCCGCCACGGTCATCCCCCGTCGAATCTCCACTTCCTGTTTTTCTGCTTTGGACTTCACATTCTGCTTCTTCTGATCTCTCCTCTGACCTTTGACCTGTTTTCATATTTATGATTTTTTTTTTTACCGAGCAGAACTCAGGACAGGAAGTTAGAAATAACCACCAAGGTCCGCTTCCTGGAGGGGTCTGACGTCAGACTCACCTGTTTGGAGGAGAACGTCCTGTGCAGTGGACTGGTGAGAAGGGAGGGGGCGGGAGACAGGAAGTGTCTGAGGAGAGGCAGGTCGACCTGGACGAGCCGTCGGGCCGCCCGCATCACGGATGACGTCACACTCATACCTGCAGGACAGGTGGACACAGCTAGGCTAAAACCACAACTAGAACCCAATCCATGATGCCGGTGTGATCAATAAAGTGTGTGTTTCAATCTGGACGGAACCGGAAACGAAGAGGTTCTACCACCAGAAGAGAACAAGCAGCTCCAAGAACTCAAGTAAATCAGAGTTTAAGTTAACAGACGATAAACTAACCACACGGAACCGGTGTTACCGGAACTCACACGCCGACATGTTCTAAAAGCCATCAGGTGAGTTCTGTTCAAGAGCTATAGTCCGCCGAACCTAAAACTAAACATGTTTCCGGTGAGGAGCTCTCTTCTTCTGCTGGAGGTTTCTCTGTGTTTGTGTGGATGGCGAGGTCTCACCTGAAACGGTTCATCTGCTCAGCTCATCCTGGAGAACGGGACCGTGCAGGTTCACCGTGAAAAGCACCTGCGACAGGGGGCCGCCATGACACTTCGTTACCGAGGGACGAGCGCCACCTGTCGACCGGGAGGGGAACCGTTCCTCCACGCACACACACACAAGGGTCTGACCCACTGAAGAAGAAAATATCATTCCTATAGCGCCTCTCAAGATAAAAATCACGAGTCGCTTCACAAAAACTAAAAATGTAAAAATATAAAAAAGAATTTAGAAAATTTTTAAAAATATATTTAAAATGAGCAAAAATAGACAATTGTGATTAAAAATGTTAAGAAAGAGAGAGAGTGAATAGGAAAGAGGGAAACCAGTGGATCCTGAGGAAGGTGGAATAGGTGGGGAGAGCAGAATAAAGAGAGAGAGGTGAAGAAGGTCATACAAAAGCCAGCTTGAACAAGTGAGTCTTCAGCTGCTTTTTAAAGGAGACCACTGAGTCCACTGATCTCAGGCTCAGGGGGAGAGAGCTCCAGAGTCTGGGGGCCACAGCAGCAGATGATCTGTCAACTTTGACCTTTAGCCTGGTGCTGCACAACCAGTAGGCTTTGATCACTGCCTTCCTCCTGCAAGTTTTATTATGTTGATTAATCTACAAACACAATGTTTTAATATACTGCTGTTACATAAAAATCATAAATACATAGATTTGTATAGACAAATAATAAGGGCATTTGGTCAGTTATGTGCTTAAAGGTATTCTTTCAGTTAAAGATTTTAATGCTCAACATAACCTGCAGACAAAGGATTTTAGTGGATCATTTAGGCTGTCCCTCAACATATCCTGTCACCTTTAATGCACACATCAGAGTTAACAGCCTTAATAATCCTGCTTAGGAAATTCTTCACAGGCGTTCGTTTTCCTCATAAATCTAAACCAAGTTCTGTTTCAGACCCGTTTGCTGCTGCAAGACGTGAACTTCTGGCTTTTCCTGAAGATACCAAAGCTACATGAACACTGAGACAATGAGATCAGCTTTCAGGCTTTTTTGGAAATTAATTTAGAAAATGTTTTAAGTTTAATAATTACGGGTTCATTTTTTTACTCACAAATGATTCCTGAACGAACTGTGCCACTTCTTCTCACCCGTGAAGTTTATGGACAAGCTGTGGAACTGATGACCTGGTTCTCCTCGAGTCGCGAGTGTGATGCCCTGTTTGTGTGTTTTTGTTTATTTTTGCCCCGTTTGGCTCCTCTTTGTGCCGGAGGACAGCCTGTTTTGGTGCTTTTTTCTGATGTCTGTTGTAAACATGCACAAAAAACAATCCCATGTATTTAATCCAAGGGACAGGGGTCAAAGGTCACATAAACACAGAACGAATCTCACTCCATGGACCTCAGAGGTAGAAATCAGTTTTTATTCAGTTTCTAACAAACATCAATCATCATCCTCTTCATCACACAAATGAAACAACGTTGAGCCTAGCATCACATCGTAGGAGCCCTAAAGGTTACAGCACCATGTTCAAAGAGTTAAACGTTAGGTCAAAGGTCAGAGAAAGGCACAAACACACACACAAACATGCTACATCAAACGGCTACACATCTCTCATCTCACATCTTCTACCAAACACAAACAACACCTGGAATCCACTCAACACATCCAGATGTTCAGGAAGAATCCTGTTTGTTCCCAGCAACAGGAATTTGATCCCGAGTCGGGTCGGGTCAGTCTGCAGAAGGTTCTGGTCCCCACAGGACAGCAGAGGAGTCTTCTGTGGACGAGGAAGCTTCACTGACACTTCCACACGAACAGGCTGCACAGAAAAGTCAAAGATCTGAAGTTAGAAGAACCTCCCAGTTCTGCTGCAGAGCTCGGAAGGTCCAGGAATGGACCTCCGGCTGGCCACGGCTCCAGACTCTGAACAGGTTTTACTTATAAGACAGAAAATATTCACCGTCTGATAGACCAGGACCCCAGCTCTGACCTCTACCCCCTGACCAAGCAGGGTAACCTCAAACACACTCCGATGGAAGAATGATCCCGTTTGAGCAAAATTTACAGCGGTTGCCACGGTTACCACCCTTCAGTGCAAGGTGTAGCACCATGGACTAGAGAGCAGGGGAAAGGTCTGCTTCAGAAGCGGGTCTGTTGGTTACCTGCAGTCGCTGCCACCGGCGCTGACCACGTACTTATCATCACAGGAGAAACGAACGTTGGTCACGTGGGCCGAGTGACCGAAGTAACGCTTGTGTTTTGCCTGGAAACGCATCGGAAGGACAGGTCAGATGGACACAGTCCAACTAGGACACATCTGAAACAGAGTCTCACTCACAAACTTCTCACTGCAGGGGAACTCGAAGAGCTTGATGAGGCCAAAGTCATCTCCGGTCACCAGGCTCAGGCCGGCGTGTGAGACACAAGCGCAGTTAACGTCGGCTTTGTCGGCGTTCCGAGGCCAAATGCCAAGAACCTCGTCTCCGAGGATGCTGACGAGACAAAAACAAGAAGTCCGTCAGACCCTCTAGAAGCATCAAGAGACATTTTCTACATCTACAACGTGTTTGTAACAGGTCAGTCCGACACGGAGCCCGACCTCACCTGGTCCAGGTCGCCCAGGTGATCCTCTCGATGACAGGCAGCACTGGGATGACCTTCCCTGATGGAACCTCATGGACCTGACGAACGTAGGAGCTGGTGGACACCTGAGAGGAACATCAGAGGTTTCAGAAGCCGATCCACCTCCGTAGCTGTGCCCTTCCCCAACCATCAGAGTTCTGACCCAGATCACCTGGATGTGGTTGCTATCGGCTGAAAAGTCCATCTGAATCACAAAACCCGGGATGTCCTTGCAGTAACCAATCCGATTGAGTGACGGTCCGAGAGAAAGGTCGTAGAAATCTACAGCACTGTCAGCTGACCCCACGGCCAGGAACCGGTTATCTGGACTGAACCTGGACCACAAGAAGCCCACCAAGTAGAAAAGTATCAGACAGAAAAGTTCTGGTTCTGATCTACATTAAAAACTGAATCTGTACCGGATATCCTGGATGGCGACGCTCCGATCCCTCTTCTTGCCCCAGACGGTGAGCGAATTGACCAGCAGGACGATAAACTCTCCGTTCTCCATGCCGATGGAGACCATCTCTCCGTTGGAGCTGTAGGAGGTGCACTTGGCAGGATGACCTAAACTCACTTTGTTCAGGAGTTTCTGGTGGAGAAAACCAGATCACTGAAGAGCGTCGGGCCACAGAACGACTGCAGACGGAGACCTGAGGGTGCGCTACCTTATCAGCCAGGTCCCAAATCCGGATGGTCCCATCGTCACTGGCAGAGATGAAGACGTCTTTGAAAGGGTGAGCTGCCAAGCCCCAGATCCCTCCCTGAGTGTGTCCATTGATCATGGTGTTGGAGGCAGCATTCTTTTCTCCAACCTCGATGATCTCGCCATCTTTAGTTCCCACCAGAATTTTACCCTGGGCCAAAGAGACAAGGTCCACAGGTGAAGGTTTCATGAAGCACAAGGTGGAGCAACGGGAAGGGGACCTTACCTTCCCTCTGCAGACAGATCTGACATTTTCCACGGGCTGACCGGTCTCCAGCTGAAAGGCCCTGCAGCGCTTCATCTCCTGGTCCCAGAGCTTTACAGCACCACCCTCTTTGGTCCTGTGGAACATCAGAAACACACCTTTAGTCTGACAAATGAGAAGCAGAAGGCTGGTAAGACAGGAAGACCAGGTTAAGAGCCTCCGTGGCCATCTGCTGGAGCCCACGGTGAGGTTTAGGAGTTCTTCTGAATGAGACGGTAAGTCATGAACTACAGCAGGTGCACCAGCTCGACCGCCTGATCTGGAGCCAGGAACGTGAAGTGGACTTCAATGTTTTCATCACAAACTTAGAAAAAGTGCACAGAAGTGACCGAACCCAGACCAGGACCGTGCGTGGAGTACTCACGGCCGTTCCTTCCCCCCGGTGACGATGAGTCCGTCCCTCAGCGTGGTGTACATGGTGAAGACGGGACCGCTGTGGGCTTTTGCCACCACCCGAACTAGGAAGTGTTCCCTCCACACGTACACGTCGCCGCTGATCGCACCGGTGAACGTCAAGTTATTCTGGATCAGAAAACACCAACTTACTGAGCACCAGAGCAGAACCTTAAGCCAGAACTTTAGCTGCGGGGGGTTCTCACAGCGCCGAAGGCGACGGACAACATGGTCTGCATCCGGCCGTCCTCCACCGACCCGATCACTCCTTTCTTATACACCAGCGAACCTCCAACTAGAGTCCAGAACTTGATGTGTTTGATCCCAACCGACACGAACTGGGTATCGGAGTCGGGTCTGAACTCGACCACAAAGATCCGCTCGGTGTGGCCCCCCTTACTGGTCACCTTAGTGCCTGACACAAAGGTCAAAGGTCAGCATCAGTGAAGCAGTATTCAGGTTTTCATTTACACACCTGGCTCGGATCCAGAACTCTGGGTTCTCACTGACAACCCTCCACCCGTCCATGGTGACTGGATGGTACAGCTGGACAGGTAACGTACCTTCCTGCCACCTCCACACAGTGATTGTGTGTTCAGGCTCCACCCCCACTGACAGCAGCAGCTTTCCTGTAGCACTAAAGTTGACGTAGCCGACGCCTTTAGCGTGAGGGCAGCGCAGGATAGACAGGGTCTGCTTCGTCACCGCGTCCCACACGTGGATGGACGGGGCCAGGCCTGGGGGACAAGACCAGAGCTGTAGCGGAGACTGAAAGATTTAGGTCAACCCCCCCAAACCTTGGCCTAGACTTCAGGAAACACAATGTACAAAGACAAAAGGCAATTATAGGACAAGGTGCTGGGATGTAGACCAGACTAGAACAGACAGCACCAACAAAGGACCGGACCAGGCTACACGCAACTGGACCCGCCCGGATCGTTTTCCAGTTCAAACTGTTATTGTTACCGGAGCTTGTCTTGCAATGTGAAACGCTCGGTCTCAGATTTTGTAAGAAAAATAATAAAATTTCCCCCCAAAATACGACTTATATGTGTTTTTTTCTTCTTCATTATACATTTCATGGCTGGTGCGACTCCGGAGCGACTTATAGTCCGGAAAATACGGCACGTTAAAAATACTGAAAACTTGCTCAAAGCAAAATATATTTTCATTACGGAAATAACTTATAAACTTACAGATTTGATACTTTTTTAGTCACAGAAAGATAGTTTTCATGAAAAAGCGCCGCAAACCTCCACCTGAACTTCGTGTGAACTTCAGGTCGATGGGCGTTCCACAGAGTTAGCTCCGGTTGTAGCTAGGTTGCTACCTCCGTTAGCTTAGCTCCCACCTCCGCGTTAGCTTCGGGTTAGCTTCAGGTTAGCTTGTGGCTAGTTCGACCGGGTGTCGTCAGTTGATCCCAGCCTTACAGCCCCACCCTCAGCTCCACCTCTCTTCCCTTTTGTGGAATTGTCTGGGCTTGACGGAACCTGTGACACGGTCAAAATGGCGGTGGTGGCCACCTCCCATTTCTCTTGAAAAACGTGTTATTGGAGGCTATGGAAACCCATTGTCCATATATGTATATGTCGATGGTTCAAACCCGTATCAAACTTTATTTATAAAGCACTTTTCATGCATAGGATGCAACACAAAGTGCTTAACAGATGAAAATGACCCATTTAATCCACATTCCCTCCCTTTCCCACACCTAAAAACCATTCCCAGGCACACACACACACACACACTCGTACACACAACACATTAAAAGACCACAGTAAACACTAGGCTGAGCTCAGATTGGACAGGTAATGAAAGACACGCCATCAAGGCAGCCATCTGCCTCGACTGCAGCAGATCCACGGCAGCAGCCAAGACACCAATCCAGGGGGCCCTGGGAGGGGGGGGGGGGGGGGGGGGTGCCGGTGGCAACCCCCACCACGACCGGGCCACTACCCAAGGAGCACCCCAGCCGCCGCCACCGACCACCGGTCCCGAGGCAGAGGGCTCCACAGAGGAAACACGGGAAGGAGTAAAATACGTGACGTGTAAAATAACATGAGCTAATATGGAAAATATGGAAAATGTTTGATGTAAAATATCCAATAAAATGTGATTTCACAAATAAAACAACATAAATGTGTAACACGACATCAATTAAAAATAAATAAATAAGTAAAACAAGCAATGCGATAAATAGTAATCAGTTAAAAGCTAAACTAAAAAGGCGGGCCTTGGTGCCTGATCTTAAAAACACGAGCGTTCTCTGCGACCCTGAGATCCTCCGGCAGCCCGATCCAGAGGCGAGGGCCGTAATAACTAATCCAACTAATCCATCCATGACATAATCCCGCTGGCAACATCAGATCTATCGACCGGACTGGCTCGACGCCTGGATGACCTGCTGGGGGGGGGGGGGGGTCTACAGGAGGTGGTCTGTGGATACTCACCGGACACTTCGGCCTCTACACACGGAGAGCAAACAGATGACAGGAAAACAAACAGAATCATGTGTGTGATGACTCCGTGATGAGAACGTGAGGCAGGTGAGCGAGACTTACCTGGGAGTTCAGAGCGGTCACCTGGGGAGGAGGTGACAATGAGGAAGCCATGAAAAAGAAACACAAAAGTGAAATGGGCCAAAAGCAGCCGGTCATGAGTGAAGGCATCATGCTGAGGTTCTGCTGGACCTGAGACTGCACTTAAATATTAGCTGACCAGAACCATCAGAACCGGTCCAGTTATCCATGCATGTCACCTGCAAGCAAAACCTCCAGACAGAACCTGTTGCCGGGGCAACCGGCACCACAGGACGGATAGGGCCATGAACCCAGGACACTCTGTCATGGTTCTGATAAAGTTCTGGAATTAGACTCACCGATCTGTCCGGTGGCTATGATGTTCTGGTATTTGGGGTGCTGGTTGACTGTCAGACAGAGGATGTCATCGGTGTGTTCCAGGTAGAAACTCTGAGTTCCTGTTGGGACAGGAAGCAGGAAGTGTGAGGCTAACAGCGGTGACTCAGAAGCACCGATGGAGTTTCACTGACCGGCGGAAAGGTTCTGGACGACCACGGCGGCGGCGGTGTGGTAGATGATGTCCGCGCCATCGTTGAGGTAGTGCAGGTTGTTGCGGCAGTCGAATCCTCTGTAGCCGAAGATGTGCTCCAACACCAGCTCCTGCGGGGAGACACAGCGGTCAGCCGGAACGCGGCGAGCCGGCGGAACGTCGCCCACCAGACCGCCCGCGCTGACCTCCACCACCTTCTTCTTCTTCATCAGGCTGTTCTTCAGCAGCTTGTCGGGCAACGGCGCAGCTCGACTCACAGGAGGTCTGAACGGGGTGGACAAGGTTGACCCAAACTGATGCGAGCTCACCAGCCAGCATGATGACATCACCCTACCTGTCCTCCACCGGAAGCTCTCTGTGCTGCAGGTGGGGTTTGGTTCCCGACATGTTCCGGATGCTCCCCGAGTAGATCTTGGTGACGTAGTCGGCCCCCTTCTCCCGAGCCACGTCGCTGTCGTATCCTGAAGAGAACGAGCTGAAACCGTTTCTGGAGACACTACGCTGCCACACGGGGAACGCTTTAGGAAGATTAAAGAACTCCTGCCTTTGTGTAAATCACGTCACCGTGGTAACGCAAAACATAGATAAAAGTAAAGAACCATCCTCAGAACCAAATCAGTCGTTCTGATGATCATGTGTGTGTGTGTGGGCGTTTCCCATTTGTTATGATATTTTTAAATCATTGATTTATTATTTTGATTTTATTGTTCGCGTGAAGCACTTCGTGATTTTTATCTTTCTTCTTCTTCTCCTCAGGTTAGACTAAACCAACATCAGTACCAGTACCAGAACCTGGGAAGCCTTCATAAGGAATAAATTACTTCATGCCCTCCTTGGGTGTCGCCATAGCAACCAGATGAAGTTACCTCCATCCTCCTCTGTGTCATCGTCTGACTCCTCGCTGTCCACGGCTTTGCTCTCTTTGTGACCCGGAGCCTCCCTGGTCCATATCATCAGCGCCGTGTCAGCCCCGCCCACCGACAGCAGCATGGAGTCATCACTGGACCAGCGCACGCTCGTCACGTTGGTGCTGTGGCCCACGTATTTTTTAAACTTGGCAAACTGGCCCTAAGGAAATAATTCACTCGTTCATAACCTTTGATTATACAGGTGAAGGTCATAATGCTCGTCTTGTCCTCGTGGACTATGGGGTGCCATTTGTAAAGTCAAACAGTCATAATCTAACAGCAATATTTTTGGTTATTTAGCATATCATAAGAGAAAAAATTGGGAGTTCACTTTTCAAAGTCATATTTTCATCATGTTATTCATACATTTATAAATGTTAAAGTTTCCAATAAATATTTAGTTAGCAAGCTAAATATTTAATTTGTAGTTAAATATTTATTTTGCAAACTAAATATTTAGGTCTGATCTAAATATTTAGTTTGTAAAATAAATATTTAATTCACTAACTAAATATTTACTTTACTAATTAAATATTTATTTTGGAACTAAATATTTAATTTGTAAATTAAATATTTATTTTCCGAAATAAATATTTAGATCCCAGCTAAATATTTATTTTGGAGCTAAACATTTAGTTTGCAACATCAGTATTTGGGAAATAAATATTTAAGTCCGACCCAAAAATATAAAATATAGTGTGGGGCTAAATAACATCGTGGAAAATAAATATTTAAATGGTACTTAAACATTTAACTAATATGCAAATTCGCTTGCCAAAAAGCGGAAGTTGGTTACCAAAATAAAAGCTGGATCTCGATAACCTCTTTATAAACTCTTGCTCCGAACCAGAACTTGTTTTATCTCCTGTTCTATTCTTCTTCAACCAACACGTCGGACATGTTCAGAAGACTAGAACCGGAAATAAAACAAGTTCTGGTTCAGCGCAAGAGTTTATAAAGAAGTTAGCGAGACCCAGCTTTTATTTTGGTAATCAACTTCCGCTTATTGGCAAGCGAATTTGCAAGTTAGCTAAATGTTTAAGTACCAGCTAAATATTTATTTTCCACAATGTTATTTAGCCCCACACTATATTTTATATTTTTGGGTCGGACTTAAATATTTATTTCCCAAATACTGATTTTGCAAACTAAATGTTTAGCTCCAAAATAAATATTTAGCTGGGATCTAAATATTTATTTCGGAAAATAAATATTTAATTTACAAATTAATTATTTAGTTCCAAAATACATATTTAACTGGTAAAGTAAATATTTAGTTAGTGAATTAAATATTTATTTTACAAACTAAATATTTAGATCAGACCTAAATATTTAGTTTGCAAAAGAAATATTTAACTACAAATTAAATATTTAGCTTGCTAACTAAATATTTATTTGGAAACTTTAACATTTATAAATGTATGAATAACATGATGAAAATATGACTTTGAAAAGTGAACTCCCAATTTTTTCTCTTATGATATGCTAAATAACCAAAATATTGCTGTTAGATTATGACTGTTTGACTTTAGAAATGGCACCCCATAGTGGACACCGTCTCTACACCAAACTACTGTCCTCCACACCTGAAACCCTTTCGTCACACCTGACACTTTTCTCCACCCATTCCCACCTGCCTCACACACTGATGCTTTGGACCGTTGACCCTGAGTCCTCTACCTTCTTTACTTCTGCAACACTCTCATCATGCGTCTGGATCTCACCCTTGACGGGAAGCTGAAGAGCTTCAGGAAGCCGAAGTCGTCCCCTGTGGCGAGCAGCTTGCGGTCTTTGGTGAGGGACGCTGTATTGACGAAGCCCAGGGACGGCCATATGCCCTCACTGGTTGGTCCCAGAACAGAGGTCCAGGTGGCCCAGTCCAGCTTCTCGAACTGGAACGAGGACACAGACAGGTCTGGGTCCCAGTCTCACTAAAGAACTCTAATGAGACCACCAAGAAGGTTTCTGACCTCAGCCACGCTGATGTTCTGTTTACGTCCACGAGGAGCCTCGAAGAAAAGCTGCTCTTTGACTCCAGTGTTCACCTGCAGCAGTTTACCTGCAGATGACACAGAAAGGTTCTTTATGTTTTCTTCTTTATATTTTTCTGGAACTGCGCTGCTCTGGGTGGCTGCATGTTGGAGTAGCTCTGTTGACTATATGTAAGTTTTGCTTTTTTTAGACATTTTTTCTTCTAGTTTCTCAAGAAAAACTGTTTTTTTTGGACATTTTACTTTTCTGCTTCTGGTGCTGTGAAGCTTAAGAGGATTTTTACTGTAATTTTTTTCACTTTTTTCACTTTTTGAGCATTTGTTATGATGCGTAACCATGGTAACAAGCAGGTTTACAATCGGGAGCAGCTGATTAGCATTGGAATGGCTGAAATAATACCTCAACTGAAGCCACAAATCAAAAATGAGCTAAAACGCAAGAAGCGTGGGTGCAGAGCGGGAGCAAACGGAGACAGAGAAAGAGGAAATTCAAACCATCTCTTCCATTGATCATAATGGGCGATGATAAATCAGGTGCTGGTCAGCATCAGAAGCAGGGACCTGAAAAGGCTCAACAGCCTAATAACAAAGGCTGGTTCTGTTCTGGGGACGACTGTGGAACCGCTGGAGGAGATAATGCAAAGAAGGATTCTCCAGAGAATCAAGAAAATGATGGACAACCCTGAGCATTCTCTTCACAAGACTGTCCGACAACGGAAGAGTGTCTTCAGTCAGAGGCTTCTTCAGTTTGGCTGCAACACTGACCGCTACTGGAGATCCTTCCTGCCAACAGCCATTGTAATATACAATAACTCTTTGATGACCTGATTATTATTATTATTCTGAGCTACTACAGCAATCCCTCTGGGATTAATAAAGTATTTTTGAACTGAATTGAATTGAATGTTCTCAGGTTCCTCCAGAACCCAGCTGAGGTCCTCCTTCGTCACTCAGACTACAGCCTCTCACTCAGGAGTAGCACCAGCTGGACCATCACACCTCCACAAGACTAAAGTCCAGTGAAGAGAGGTCGGACTTACCTTTACAAACCAAACATTCCAGCTGGGACAGCATTTTCTCACTCTCTAGCTAAGATTCTTAAAGTCAGCGTGGCGCCCAGCCCTCTGCCCGCTCTTTTCGGTGTCGGTGAGCAGGGGAGACGTGTACCGGGATGCGGTTCCCCCCACTCACAAACGGTGGTTACACGACCTCACGTCGTGCCTCGAGGTGGAGAAGATGAGATGTTCTCCCCAACACTCCTCTGGGAAATTCCTTTGGAGCCCTTTTCCTGATGCGCTCCACAGACCTAATGATGGTTCAGGTGAACCCTTTTCCTGTTTCATTATTCATTTACTGTGCTGGGATGCTCCGATTCAATCAGCATCCGAATCTGATCAGATTCTTAAAATGAAACGGCTCGGAATCGGATTGGGAGGGGGAAAAAAAAACGTGATCTGAACATTCCCAGCAGAATATGTCTCCCCTTGTCAGCGAGGGGGAGACGGGTAGGGAGGGAGGGGTTGTTTTGAAGGGTTAGGTTTCTTTTGCTTGCACTGTATTTTTTCCTCTCTACATTTTTAGTCGATGGCCTAAAAACGTCCGGTTCCGTCCCCATCAGCGGTCGTTTTGCTTTGTTTGTTTAATGTGTTTGTACAAGAAAACAAAACTGCAGAAAGGACATTTAAGTGTTGGCGTTACGTGTCTCCTGTCTCCGGTGGTGAGCTCACCTCTGGAGTCCCAGTCGATGTGGGTGATGCAACTTCCAGCTCCTTTACAGATTCCCACCCTCTTACTGGTCAGAATGTTGTAGATGTCCACAAAGGAATCATGGGATGCCACAGCCAGGTACTTTCCTGCATCTGGAACAAACACCGGACCCATCAGTACCTGGCCATCAGTGTCGTAGCCCACCTGTGTGGTGAGTTCAGGTACCTTGGGAAAAACGGATATCTGAGATGAGCTCCCTGCGGTGGTGGAAGGTCACCATATCCTCCAGAGTGTCGGCGTTCACCACCATGAAGCTGCCATCGTTCAGACCGACCGCCAGAGCCTTACCGTCTGGAGAGAAAGAACAGCACCGCCCACCTGGCAGGTAACACAGGTAGAAAAATTAAACTAGTGATACAGGTAACAGATGTTACAGGTTACACATGTGATACAGGTAACAGATGTTACAGGTTACACATGTGATACAGGTAACAGATGTTACAGGTTACACATGTGATACAGGTAACAGATGTTACAGGTTACACATGTGATACAGGTAACAGATGTTACAGGTTACACGTGTGATACAGGTAACAGATGTTACAGGTTACACATGTGATACAGGTAACAGATGTTACAGGTTACACATGTGATACAGGTAACAGATGTTACAGGTTACACATGTGATGGGATACAGGTAACAGATGTTACAGGTTACACGTGTGATGTGATACAGGTAACAGATGTTACGGGTTACACGTGTGATGTGATACAGGTAAGAGATGTTACAGGTTACACATGTGATGTGATACAGGTAACAGATGTTACAGGTTACACATGTGATGTGATACAGGTAACAGATGTTACAGGTTACACATGTGATGTGATACAGGTAACAGATGTTACAGGTTACACATGTGATGTGATACAGGTAACAGATGTTACAGGTTACACATGTGATGTGATACAGGTAACAGATGTTACAGGTTACACATGTGATGTGATACAGGTAACAGATGTTACGGGTTACACGTGTGATGTGATACAGGTAACAGATGTTACAGGTTACACGTGTGATGTGATACAGGTAACAGATGTTACGGGTTACACATGTGATGTGATACAGGTAACAGATGTTACGGGTTACACGTGTGATGTGATACAGGTAACAGATGTTACAGGTTACACATGTGATGTGATACGGGTAACAGATGTTACAGGTTACACGTGTGATGTGATACAAACAGATGTTACGGGTTACACGTGTGATGTGATACAGGTAACAGATGTTACAGGTTACACATGTGATGTGATACAGGTAACAGATGTTACGGGTTACACGTGTGATGTGATACAGGTAACAGATGTTACAGGTTACACGTGTGATGTGATACAGGTAACAGATGTTACAGGTTACACATGTGATGTGATACAGGTAACAGATGTTACAGGTTACACATGTGATGTGATACAGGTAACAGATGTTACGGGTTACACGTGTGATGTGATACAGGTAACAGATGTTACAGGTTACACGTGTGATGTGATACAGGTAACAGATGTTACAGGTTACACATGTGATGTGATACAGGTAACAGATGTTACAGGTTACACGTGTGATGTGATACAGGTAACAGATGTTACAGGTTACACATGTGATGTGATACAGGTAACAGATGTTACAGGTTACACGTGTGATACAGGTAACAGATGTTACAGGTTACACATGTAATACAGGTAACATATGTTACAGGTTACACATGTGTTACAGGTAACAGACGTTACAGGTTACACATGTGATACAGGTAAAAGATGTTACAGGTTACACATGTGATACAGGTAACAAAGGTGATGCTCGTAACACGTGATCGGAGGTCATGTTAACAAGACTTTTTCTGCTTTTGACCTTTTTTTTAACAGAGACAGAAAACTCTGAAGGCTGTCCGCCATTTTGACAGATGGTAGCTCCCGCTCGGACTCATGCGGGTGTGCACACATTTTAAACGTCACGCACAGAGAACATCACAATAAAACCACAAATACATCAAGGAAAGATTTGCTTCAGAGCTTCAAGTATTAAACCACATCCTTCTCGACGCGTTGACAAGAGAAGCTCGGAGTGCGTCTGCAACAGAGCGGTGCAGCCGAACCGCTGGCGCACCGGGCGCTGAAGCAAGGGCTGTCCAGGTCTGGAAACCCTTCCTTTAGGAGGTCTTGCTGACTTCTGGTTTGGAGAAATGTTCCCTGGTTTGACTGAAGTAGCGCTTGTTGTTCCAGCCTGTGTGGCGGCGGAGCGCGGATCCATCCAGAACAACGTTAAACAGTAGGGCTGAACAATATTAGGAAAACCTGCGATTTCCGATAACAGTGATTAATATTGTGATGACGATATCACTTGTGATAAATAAAAACTTAACTCAGGATCAAAATTAATCAAAAACAAAGAAATTTAAAAAATCATAAAAGTGAGAAACACTAAAGATGTGATGAAAGGGAAAAAGAAAATGAACAAGAAAAGGTGATCAGTGGATCCCAGGAAAAGCAGAATCAGCAAAAAGAGCAGAACTAAGCTAGCTCAGGTGTTTGCTAACCATCTAAATGAAGTGCCGTCCGCCTCGGGGGCGGGACTCTGACCTAAGAGAACCCACCCAATTGGCCAAATGGGTGAAGAGCTCTATTTGATTTGTTAAAAAAACATGATACTTCGTTTGATTGACAGAAGGCATCATGTGTAGCAAACATTTGAGCGATATTTATCTGTTCTTTGCGATATGCATATTGCGCATGCTGATATCGCGATAACGATATATTTACGATATATTGTGCAGCCCTACTAAACAGCGATTGGTCTGTTTGAGGTCCAGAACTTCACAGCCTCTTCACCAAGCTTTGTTGTTTATGTTGCCGGGGCACTCTGTTTAACTTGTCTGTTAAATATTTAAAATACACAAACATTTTATGGTAATTAAAAAATGAAAGTGACGAGAAAAAATCAACCATGACTGTTTTTTTTTGCTACCCTGTCGGTCAAAATGATGGACAACAAAAATGTCTAGCGCGACCTCTGCAGGTGATACAGGTATAGGTAACACTGCTCTAACCTTTCTTCAGTTTGCGGACGGCTACCATTCTGTGATTGGCCAAGAGCTCCCAGATCCTCAGTGTTTTGTCGTCACTGACGGTGGCACAAACAGGAAGCAGAGGATGAGCCGCCAAACCCCACACCTCCCCCTCCATGTGACCCTGAGGACCAAACCCAAAGTTAGTCCTGGCTCCTGACACACAGTCCATGTGAACCAGTGTGTGTGTGTGTGTGTGTGTGTGTGTGTGTGTGTGTGTGTGTGTGTGTGTGTGTGTGTGCAGAGTGAAACTGTGATTTATTTGGTTTGATCAACTGCTAAAGCCACATCAGCACTAGCAGCTAACTACAGTGGCCCTCAGAGGACAAACAAGAAGGGTCCACTCCGATCCTGTCTTCTCAGTCTGACCTGAACCAGCAGAGTCATGGGTCCACTCTTTTCAATCTCCAGGATTTCTCCGTTCTTTGTCCCGAGCAGGATGTGACCATGGCCCAGAGTGATGGCTCTGATGGACGGGTTGTCCTCCAGCAGCAGACCTGATCAGAAAGCCAAAGTCCAACAGCAGATGTCAAGCGCTTGAACTCAGAAACAACATCTGAAAAAGGGCTGCAAGACCTTTAGAGGATGGTGATAAAGCTGCTCTCTTGATGGCGTATGTCTTCAAACATCGTTCAAACATGTCATCCCACAGCTCCACAATACCGTCCTTCCCCCCCGTCACAAAACCCTGGACAGGAACGAAACACGGACAAGATAAAAACAGTCAGCTGCTTACTCATGGATGATGGGTGGGAGGATGCATGGAGAGGTGTCACCTTGTCAAGGGAACACATGGCAAAGACTGGTCCATCATGAGCTTTGATGGTCTTGATGAGCGTTGTGTCCTTCCAAATGTAAACGTCTCCGTTGGTGGCTCCAGAGAAGACCAGGTCCTCAGATCGGCCATAGCACGCTGACATCATGGTCTCCTGCTTTCCCAGGTTTCCAAAAATACCTCGTTTAAATGTCAGACCACCGCCTGTGTGGGAGCAGAAACGAGAGCTTCAAAGAATTTTCTACGTTTCTGATGCTTCCAGGAAAAATGGGAAGTGGAATCCACCTGAATGCTGCCAGAACTTGATGTGTTTCATCCCGACAGTCACCAGTTTGTCCATCCTGAAAGGGTTACATCTCACCACAAAGATCTTCTCCTTATGACCCCTGCAGGACAAAGGTGATGGTTTAACAGGTAAATAAAATCCTTTCAAGTTTAAAGTCCCATCAGTTGTCACACACACTGATGTGTGTGCGAAATTTGTTCTCCGCATTTGACCCATCCCCTGCAGACACAGCCGCGCTCGGGAACCATTTGGTGGTTTAACTCCCCAATCCAACCCTTAAATGCTGAGTGTCAAGTAGGGAGGCACTGGGTCCCTTTTTTTTTCAAAATCCTTGGTATGGCCCAACAAGGTTCAATACCTTGATCTCCCAGTGTCAGGGCGGACACACCTGTAACATGGCTGAGCTGGTTTCATGGGTAAAGGGACATTTCAAAGCAAATATCCGTATCTTCAAAGAAATTAACTATCCCATTTGCATTCCACCTGTAACATGGCTGTAACACACCTGTAACATGGCTGTAGTACACCTGTACCACATCTGTAACATGGCTGTAACACACCTGTACCACACCTGAAACATGGCTGTAGTACACCTGTACCACACCTGTAACATGGCTGTAACACACCTGTACCATACCTGAAACATGGCTGTAGTACACCTGTAAGATGGATGTAACACACCTGTAACATGGCTGTAGCACACCTGTACCACATATGTAACATGGCTGTAACACACCTGTACCACATCTGTAACACGGCTGTAACACACCTGTAACATGGCTGTAGCACACCTGTACCACATCTGTAGCATGGCTGTAGTACACCTGTACCACATCTGTACCACATCTGTAACATGGCTGTAACACACCTGTAACATGGATGTAACACACCTGTACCATACCTGAAACATGGCTGTAGTACACCTGTACCCCATCTGTAACATGGCTGTTACACACCTGTAACACACCTGTAACATGGCTGTAGCACACCTGTACGACATATGTAACATGGCTGTAACACACCTATACCACAACTGTAACACACCTGTAACATAGCTGTAATACACCTGTACCACATCTGTAACATGGCTGTAGCACACCTGAACCACATCTGTAACATGGCTGTAACACACCTGTACCATACCTGAAACATGGCTGTAGTACACCTGTACCACAACTGTAACATGGCTGTAACACACCTGTAACATGGATGTAACACACCTGTAACATGGCTGTAGTACACCTGTACCACATATGTAACATGGCTGTAGCACACCTGTACCATACCTGAAACATGGCTGTAGTACACCTGTACCACAACTTTAACATGGCTGTAACACACCTGTAACATGGATGTAACACACCTGTAACATGGCTTTAGCACACCTGTACCACATATGTAACATGGCTGTAACACACCTGTAACATGGCTGTAGCACACCTGTACCACATCTGTAATATGGCTGTAACACACCTGTAACACACCTGTAACATGGCTGTAGCACACCTGTACCACATCTGTAGCATGGCTGTAGTACACCTGTACCACATCTGTAACACGGCTGTAACACACCTGTAACATGGATGTAACACACCTGTACCATACCTGAAACATGGCTGTAGTACACCTGTACCACATCTGTAACATGGCTGTTACACACCTGTAACACACCTGTAACATGGCTGTAGCACACCTGTACCACATATGTAACATGGCTGTAACACACCTATACCACAACTGTAACACACCTGTAATACACCTGTACCACATCTGTAACATGGCTGTAGCACACCTGTACCACATCTGTAACATGGCTGTAACACACCTGTAACATGGCTGTAGTACACCTGTACCACATCTGTAACATGGCTGTAACACACCTGTACCACACCTGAAACATGGCTGTAGTACACCTGTACCACACCTGTAACATGGCTGTAACACACCTGTACCATACCTGAAACATGGCTGTAGTACACCTGTAAGATGGATGTAACACACCTGTAACATGGCTGTAGCACACCTGTACCACATATGTAACATGGCTGTAACACACCTGTACCACATCTGTAACACGGCTGTAACACACCTGTAACATGGCTGTAGCACACCTGTACCACATCTGTAGCATGGCTGTAGTACACCTGTACCACATCTGTACCACATCTGTAACATGGCTGTAACACACCTGTAACATGGATGTAACACACCTGTACCATACCTGAAACATGGCTGTAGTACACCTGTACCCCATCTGTAACATGGCTGTTACACACCTGTAACACACCTGTAACATGGCTGTAGCACACCTGTACGACATATGTAACATGGCTGTAACACACCTATACCACAACTGTAACACACCTGTAACATAGCTGTAATACACCTGTACCACATCTGTAACATGGCTGTAGCACACCTGAACCACATCTGTAACATGGCTGTAACACACCTGTACCATACCTGAAACATGGCTGTAGTACACCTGTACCACAACTGTAACATGGCTGTAACACACCTGTAACATGGATGTAACACACCTGTAACATGGCTGTAGTACACCTGTACCACATATGTAACATGGCTGTAGCACACCTGTACCATACCTGAAACATGGCTGTAGTACACCTGTACCACAACTTTAACATGGCTGTAACACACCTGTAACATGGATGTAACACACCTGTAACATGGCTTTAGCACACCTGTACCACATATGTAACATGGCTGTAACACACCTGTAACATGGCTGTAGCACACCTGTACCACATCTGTAATATGGCTGTAACACACCTGTAACACACCTGTAACATGGCTGTAGCACACCTGTACCACATCTGTAGCATGGCTGTAGTACACCTGTACCACATCTGTAACACGGCTGTAACACACCTGTAACATGGATGTAACACACCTGTACCATACCTGAAACATGGCTGTAGTACACCTGTACCACATCTGTAACATGGCTGTTACACACCTGTAACACACCTGTAACATGGCTGTAGCACACCTGTACCACATATGTAACATGGCTGTAACACACCTATACCACAACTGTAACACACCTGTAATACACCTGTACCACATCTGTAACATGGCTGTAGCACACCTGTACCACATCTGTAACATGGCTGTAGCACACCTGTACCATACCTGTAACATGCCTACTGCACCCATAACAAGACTCTAATACACCTGTACCACATCTATAACATGGCTGTACCACACCTGTAACATGCCTACTGCACCCATAACAAGACTCTAATACACCTGTACCACATCTGTAACATGGCTGTAATACACCTGTACCACATCTGTAACTGAGTTGGTAGATGCCAAGTGAGATTAATGAACTAAGCTATACATTCTGAAGTGGTGTCAGTGAATGGTCCACTGGTGATACCACAGGTGTGTGTGTGTGTGTGTGTGCGTGCGTGCGTGCGCACGTGTGTGTTTTGTCTGAACTATCCAGGTGTGCTTACCTGGACTTGGCCAGCCGCTCTCCTTTCTTCCAGTCCCAGATAACGATGGAGTGAAACTCATCTATTCCCACTGAGACTAAACTCTTCCCATCCGCTGGGATTCACAAAGACAAAATATGGACAAAAACAACAAGATCAGAGTTCAGACAGGGCCTCCGATGTCCCGGGACACATGGAGAAGGAGAAGCTACACGTTCAGTTGGGTTGGCCTGGACATTTGGCAAGGAGGCCACCTGGACAGCTTTCAAGGCATTTGTTTCAGACTCGTCTTCCCAGGAGGAGACCTCAGAGCAGATCAGGACACGCCGGAGGGATGTGCTCTGGTAAAATGTTCTCAGATTCAGATTTAGCATTCAGGAGGATGCAACACAACTGGAATATGTATGGAATCATCCCACAAACCCAAACTGTCAGTGACCTCCTCTACCTCATCCTCCTTTCACACTTGACATGCACACACACACACACCTGTGAACTCGAGCGCACACACTCCTTTGCTGTGGTGTCCTTTGAGCAGCGACAGACACTTCAGAGTCTGGACATCCCAGATGTGGATCGCTGGGTCTCGGCCCACCTACAAGCACAGCCAGTTCAAATCCGCCGTGTGACTGGAACAAAGGTGTGCTGTGATTGGTTGGCTGTACCTGTGCGGAAGCCACGTAGTCTTTGAGTGGATGGACGGCCAGGCTGAGGATGTCGTCGTCGTGACCGAGGTAAAACCGCTGGCTGTGCTGCAGCCGGTTGTAGACGATAGCTACAGCGGCCACGTGGAATACCACCTCCCCCGTCTGACTGTAGAACAGGTTGTTACGACAGTCAAAGCCGCGGTATCTGCAGAAACAGGAAGCAGGTCCGTCACAATAAAATAGTCCCGGTTGGTGGAAAAAGAATGCTAAAGCAGCTGATGTCAGCAAAACGCGGGCTGTCGTGTAATGAACGATAGAGATGTGACATCAGGGTGAAATCTGGTGAGAGTGAGTGTCGATGAGCTGAGATCAGCGGATACCTGTGGTGATCTGCTCACCTCTGTCAGTGCGCCCCAGGGCAGCTGTGGCTACACTGTAGCTCATCACCACCAGCGTGTGCATGGATGAATGATACACTGTAGTGTAAAGCGCTCTGGAGTCCTCTGACTCTGAAAGGCGCTACGCAAGTGCGGGTCATTTATAGCTGATGTCAGGGGCGATCAGATGGACTAGCAGGAACATCCACACCAGCGCCAACAAGTTCTTACCCGTGAACAAACTGCAGACGAAGCCCCTCCTCCGGAGCTTTCTGACGCTTTAACGAGCCAATCAGCTTCTTCTTGAGCTGAGGCAGATCCTCCTTATACACCTGAGCACAGAGACAGGTGAGCCAGGCCCCCGAGTCTGATTGTGTTTGTGTCACAGAGTTTGTTTCCAGGTCACCTGACGTTCGTAGTTGGTCTGAGCTTCCTGTTCGATGTCCGAATCAAGTTCTGGAACATCTGACAAGTCCGAGTCCGACTCGCCGCTGTTGGAATCGGCGTACCCCTCTGAAGACACAAACCAAGATGAACGCCGCAAGCATCAAACAGCAGTTATTAATGAACTAATAAACGTATTTAAATTATTTCAGGTTAAACTGGTTTCAGCTCCCAGGTCAACAAGTAGATTCAAACGATTCATTTATTTAACACTAATTCATAATTAATTAATAACTGTTTATGTTGTCGAGTGGTTCAGATAAACGGGTTAGGGTTGTGTTAGTCGGGTTAGGCTTTGAGATCTACTCTTGGAATGGAATGGGATGAATCCTGGAGATCCTGGTCTACCTTGAAGAAGTGGCTCTAGAACGCCGTTCATGACACCTTCAGGAAGGAACCTCCACTGGAAGACGGCGTGGTCGGCACCACCGGTGCTGACGACCCACTGCAAGTCGTTGGACCAGCGAACGTTGGTGACGTGGGCAGAGTGTCCGATGTATTTTTTAAATTTGGCACCTATTTAAGAAGGAAAGCGGTTAGTTTTGTGTGACAGCTGTTAAAAACATCTGGAGCTCACGGTCACCTTCTAACATATTACTTCAGGTAAAAGCATTCACCGGTTTCAGGTAAAACAGGGATACGGACCTTTTTTGAGGCAGGGGAACCTAAAGAGCTTGATGAGGCCCAGATCATCACCGGTCACCAGAACAGCACTGCTGTAGTTGGCGTGGACGGAGTTGACGTTGCTGACGTTGGAGTACTTGGGCCAGATTCCATTCACCTCTGGCCCAATGACACCTGTCCATGTCATCCAGTGGATT